TCACATCTCTTTATCACATTGGTCATGCTTTAGTGTTTATTTTTCACAATTATTCATTCAACTTTCCGCCACACATGTAAATGACCACATGTTTTTCTTTGATTGCATATTACTCATTAAATACACAGTTTATCATTTAGTATTTAATTAAGTATTTGTTTGTCATATTTTAACCCTAACATAAATTTGTAAACTTTACTCATCATGTGTTATAGCTAGGTAGAATAATATATGATACCAGGGATTAAACCCAGATTTTACCCTGATGAGAATAAACATTTACCATCACATATGACACAATCTTATTATTCATACATCCTAGCACAATTGACCCAGGAAGCACTAAGACTTCATTAAAGTAATTGCATGTTGCTATCTGAACTAAACAATAGAATTAATTGCCTCCAAATCATGCATCTACAATCATATATGGTTCAACTACAATTAATTTAATATCCAAATTTATAATTAAAAAACATAGCACTAGCTTCCACTCAAAATTAAATCCTGCATATTAATATTTTAACTAAACATTGTCACAACATTGCACACTCCTGTCATTCTATCTATGTAATGGAAACTCAGTTTTCTCATTCCATTTACTTAACTATTCATTCTTATACATAAATAAAAAAAATAATGCCAACCTTGCCACTCAAATCATGATTAACCAATTAAAAAAATTTGGAATTTCAATAAAAATAAAATTTAAAGTTTAATAATAAAGTACAGACTGGTTTTTTTTTAAGCAAACTTTCAAATATTTAAATTGCATTAATTCATATCATAATAACACATGTTTTTGGCTAATCCAAAACATTTTAAACTCCTAAATTTTAAACTTCTAAATTTAAAGGTAGCACACAACACCTTTTCTATACTTTCAATCACAACATTTCCAAAAATATCAGGTACAGTCAGAATATTTGACACTATTTCGCTGTAGTCCTAAATGAGTATCAGCTAGCTGTATTTTAATGTTCAAAAAAGTAACGAACACTAGCTCCAAATTTCAGCAATCTTATTGATCAAAAAATCTAATAATAGTTATGACTGTGGAGAACCAATATGCCAGAACCCACTGTAAACTATATATTTTTAAAAGATACTATATATTTTAAAAGATAAACAAAAAAATAATACTTTTTTTAAATCGAAACAAGACAGCCTATAAAAATCACAAAAATTTTGTTTAAATTGTCTGTAAATGTGTACAAATATGATTCACTTGTTTCAACTTTACTTGTTTCATTAACACACCACTTCTCTTATTAGCCACAATATTATATATTTAACATAATGAGTGTCACACTTGTCATAACATCTTGTAAAACTTATTGATTATGCCATTTGACATACTAATAAAAGTCGTAAACATGTCAAAACAAAAACAAATTGTAAACGAAGAAACACAATGTGTTGACAGCTAGTTTATGGGCAGCCAGTAGTCTAAAACAAATAACTTATTCGTTTTACTTGTGTTAAAACATTATTATTCATGTACATTCACAAAATATATATTACAAAACATATCATATTTTGGAATATTTTAGAGCACACTGTAAGGCTAAACGAGAATTTAATAGTCAGCTGGATTGTTATAACGTACCTGAAAGTTGTTTTACAACCTCGACTATGATGATTAACAAAAATACACCACAAAAACTTATTATTCGAACTTATTATTCGGTCAAACTCGTTAAAAATATATTATTTGTTCAGAGAATAGTGGTAAACATAACATACACTAACATAATTCAATTATTACATACCAATAAGCGATAATCGTCATAATCTGACAAAGAATTAAGACCAGCGAGAATTTGGCTTTTCTTCGCGATTTTTCTTTTTTAATAAAAAAAAATTCCTTCGTAGTTACTTGATTGTTCTTTTACACTCTTTCGAAAAACAAAATACCGTAATATGATGAAGGATTCATATGGATTACACTGCATCTCCGAATATCGACTTTTAGTTTTAAATCAATCAGACAATCACGGTCCACGGACATCCCTAGCCCCAGGGCACCGACGCCGCCAAGAGTCCAGACTCCCACACTACAGACTCCCATGTAGAAGACAACAGTCCAGAATGTATATCTCTCTCCGCCACAATATCTCGCCCCATTGAATAAAATTCGTCATTACAACGAAAACCTATATGGCTTCTGGAGCCAGTTCTTAGAAAGATGGATAAAGATGATAAACTTATCCACTGGATAGTGACTTTTTCAACCGTCGTAAAAAAGCTTTGAGAAACGATAAAGCTACTTATATTAATTCATAATTGTTTAAAAAGTAACTTGAAAAAGTGAAGTTTATTCTTTCATTAATGCCAAGTGGGAGGATTATTTAAGGTGGTACACCACAAAAAGGTCCTTTGCGTATTATAATATCAGAAATATTGAAATATGTTGAAGTAGAAATGATTGTTCTGATTCTAGGCACAGCACAGACGTTCACGTAATAAGTTCGCTTTAGCAGTTGTTACGGAGTTAGATACACGTCCGAAAAGAATTCATTTCTTGCGCAATGCATTTTGGCACCAAAGTTAATTTAAAGTATTGCGCTAAAAACTCTCCCTTCTTCTACCATAAAATAAATCTCAAAGCTCTCAAACGAATAAAATATAATTAGCACACTGATGTCTGTGCTGTGAACTAGACTTAAAAAATAGATATTAACTATGTTAAGATAAATTGATATTTTCAATTTCATAAACATGCAAATTACCTTTTTGTGGTGTACAACCTTAGCGTTCGAAATAACAGTCTATTTCCGCTGGATAACTTTATCCAACTTTTAATTAAACAACCGGGCGCCAGGTCGGCTATTTTTAACCAGAATGGGAAAATTAAGGAAATGCGCAACGCTAAACGACAGCCTTTTTAATAACTAGAAATACATGCATGCATGCACCAACCCCTCACCATTTCAATTAACGAAGCAAAATATTTCCTGATCTAGTCAGACCTATATAACCTTCTAACTAAGTATATATTCTGAAAAGACTTAAGTGTAAAGCTTAAACACAGTGGTAAAGGTGAAGTGGAACCACACTTTGCATGCTGGGGAGTCTCGTACGCAGGCGCTTCATTGGAAAACATAAAGGCTGTATTTAGCGTAATATAGATACCTTCAAAACATCAAAGCAGCACAAATGATTTAAATAACGAAGTACTAAACGAGTAAATGTCTAATATTGTTTTTGCTTTATTGAATTAATACAGTGATTGCAGTCGACTCTATAAAAGCTTTAAAGTGATATTTGTTTTATCAAAACTCCGAACTTACACTTTCAAGAACTCTTTTTAAAGTAAAAACGATTCTATTTGTTTCCACATTTCATATTGTGTTTGCCAAAAATTTTAAAAACATTAAAAAAAATAGTTTCCAAAATGAAAGTTAAATTCATGTTTTAATTGAAATACAAAAATTTTATTCGCCAATCAAGCCAATTTTGAAATAAATAAAAAAAATTTAAAGTTTTGACCAATATACATGTGGAAGTAATACCCGAGCGCCTTGTCCTCGCGACTATGCCCTATTTCCAAATAAAAATTAGTTATAGCTTTTTTATGCCCATGTTGAAGAAGGAAGATTTACATCTTGCACATAGCTTGTGATAATAAAACCTTGAATCTTTCCGTTTTACTGAGGTGGTTCTATATTTTACACGATAATATTGTGACGTAATCATCGATTGTATTCCATCAAAAATCCGGAAAATGTACCATGTGTAGCATGCCTTCTAAAATTAGTAAAAGTTAGAAGTACTTGCCAATGGGTCTACTCAATAATTTTTTCGTTGTTCTTGATTTAAAAACATTCTATTTTCTTGCACAACAATTTTTTTGCGGCGAATTCATTAGAATTCATTAAGGTTCAATAAGTTTTAATGATGCTTTATCCACACTGCATTTGGCCTACCAAGGGGATTTATCATAAAAATGGTAATTATTTAATCGCAATTTTCACGTCGTCTTTGACGTCACAGAGTGTGTTGACGTTCAGGGTCTCATGCTAAATCTCCCTAACAATATGCTATAACTGTGTAATCAGTTGCACTGACGAAGAACCGGCGTAACAAACCGAAAGCTTTCCAATATTAAATACTTACTGACGTGGTGTATATACCTTAAAAGTAATTCATTTTTAATGTGATATGACCATAAAGAATTACAATAATATTAAAACCATTAAAGTCATATATAACATTTTACATCGCCGAGCGCTTGCAACAGTAATTGCAACCAATTTTATCCGTGCCGATAAATTGGATGGTTGTACCAGAATGTAAAACACAATGATGACCTAAATCTGAATAATGCAATACCAAACCTTATCTGAAGGGAAGGCGAATAACTCAGGGGCCGGTTGTATCAAGCCCGTTTAGCTTAAACGGTGGATAAGTTCAAAATAGAAAGCAAGTCTATCGTTTTATTCAACAAGCAAACTAAATGTTTTCAACCTTAATACAAAGATACTGTTTACAACTACATATTCAGTTAATAATATTCAAGTTGACTCATTCAAGAGAGATGTAAAAGTGTTATTTAATTTTGACTTATCCACCGTTTAAGCTAAACAGGCTTGATAGAACCGGCCCCAGGTCTATAGCTAACATGCATTATATCAAATTACGTCTAAATTGGTATTATCAAAATTGGTATTATCAAAATTGGTATTAGGAACTTGGCTTTTTATCCGGGACTAAAAATTTACATTGCGTTTATTTATTCTATGCAAAACATATATGTTTAGAAAAAGGATATCGGGGCAATACGTTGTTGAACAACCAAAATATGCCTTAAAGAGCAGAGAATAATTATACTTTTGTCTATATAGATTGTAGACTGTTTTTTAGTATAAGCATGCGAATGTATTAATTTTTCGATTGTGATTTTAACCAAAGTTCGCGTACAATCTGTCTTGCGATTTTCCCTATAGTCCATCCTCAAAATTCTGATGTTGTTCTCCGTTTATCTTTCTTGTTGGTTAAATCTGTAAAACTCCTCTAACGTTTCACATGACTTTTACAATTACAAACTATTATACTACAATTAGATTCTGCATATAAGCATTATATTTCACGTAGATTTAGCAAATTCTCATCTTTTATCCCGAATATATGAAATATAACCATATTATATATATGCATGCATGTGTTCAAGTGTTCAATTACACGTATACGAATATATAAATTACTTTTCTACTTCAAATTTCGTTCGCAATATTATGTTATCATAGTCAAAGTTATCATCCATTGAGAAAGGAACAACCTCACAACGTCCCTGATAAAAGAAAATTGAACAATAAAAAACATTGTCTTTGCATTTTGTGAAATGCTTGGATAATCTGATATAAAGTGTTTTCGCCAATTTCGGTTTTTACATCTAAGCATTATCATTTTTCTTACATTTGACATAACTTGTCCATCTTTGGGATATTCTTGTAACACATCTTTACTTAAATTCTCATTTTTTATATCACGCTTAGTAGAAATATCCAGATATCGTAATTTTGTCTCAGCATTTTTTGAGTCTATATTTAAAATAATAATTTAAAATTGATAAAATCATACTAACTTAAAGTTTCCAACGATTAGATGTTAAGATAACCCCCCTACCCTGCACTTCACTCGATGAACGTAAATTCTAGAGGTTCAAAGGGTTAATTTCGAGTGGAATTATACTGATTTATATACACACTGCTACTGCCGCTGGCAATTAGCCATTTTCCAATCGAGCAGGATACTGGGTCTATTCGCGAACCGCAAAGCATTTATGTACTGTTTGGAGGGACAGGAAATATAAGTTTGAAATAATTTGTCCCTCCAAACAGTCCATAGATGCTTTGCGGTTCGCGACTAGACCCTGAATCCGGTTGAATTTAAAGTGTGTATATAATTCCATTCGAAATTAAGATACATGTATACGGTGTTTATATTATAACTTTAAATAAATGTTAAAAAATGTTTAAGGCTTTTTTGCGCGTAAAACGTCACTTTTTAGATCATTTTTCAAATTTACTTTAAACCTTGGCCATATGATATGATATGGGGAATGAGTTACTGGATACGTTCTTTTTTGCGTAAATTCCAAAAATTCATAAACACAAAATAACTTTCATTAATGCATGAGACTTACTCCTGATTGCGTGTTTTTCCATAAATACCGTGTCGCATCTACTCTATCTATGTTACTACTGTATTTTTAATGACAACAACTGCATGTGTTCGTATATTATCAAAACATAAGACTTGATTATACTATAATTATACAGAGCATTGAAGATTATTGGCATATATGCTATTATGCCAAAAATATTCTTAGGCTGTTTTTCACCTATTTTATTGCCTTGAACCTGCAATTTTATAGTCTTTATATGACAATTTCACATTCAACATATAAAACCAGCTGATTCAAGAAATTGACAAAATCATCAAAAGCAATAATTGCATTTACCATATATTTCAGTTTCTCCAGGAAGAGTAATTCTTTCTTTCAAACTTACATCTATTTCATCTAATATACAAGAAAGTGAAAAAAGGATATTGTCAAGAATGCTGCTAACAGCACATTGCCATATCAGAACAATTCAAATGCAAAAATCAAGTAATTAATTTAAATATTCTCTCAAATAAAACATCATATGCAGACTAAAAGTTTATATGCAACTTGTTGGAAAAAAATTACAGATGATAATTAAATTTTAGGGTTAAAACTGTAAAGTATACCGGGTCGCGCAAAAAAAGATTAACCTGTTTGATTGAGTATAACTTCAAAACTAAAACGTCTGTTAAACTGAAATAACTTTCTTTAGATTCGTGAATGTCTAACTTAAAATTTGGTATATACCATGCGTATTTTGATACAATATTCCCCGAGATATCAGCGTTTTACTTTTAATACCTATTTTTGAAAAGTATACAAAAATTAGTCAAAAATGGCATATAAATAAGAAAAGATAATGTTCGTTTTCAACTTTTTTCCTGATATGACTTCTTGAGCATTGTTAACCCTGGCATATTCTGTGAAAACTCAAACACGCTGTTGTAGCTATCGTTAAACGAGGCATATTAAGAAAAGAACAAGCAGAATTCGTGCGAGATTGTTTGTTATATTAGCAAGCTATCGAACGAATTTTATCCCCCATGGCCATGCGACATGAAACATTTGGAACAAAGTCCAAACCAAAATAGATAATTTTTGTTTTAACGCTTTCCAACATGTCATTACACAGAAAATAAAAAACCTAATCCATCTGTCAAGTGCTTCTAGTTAAACTTCATTGAAACAGACAGAATACGTGCCATAAAATACTAGGACTTGTTAACTTACTTTAATATGCCATTTTTAGCCGCTAATTTTTACACTTTTGGAAAATGCATACTTAAATTGAAACTGCGATATCTCAGTCAAAATTGCATGAAAAACCTCATGCTATATATCAAAATTTAAGTTAGACATTAGGTAGAGAATATAAAAATCATAATTTTAGTGCAATAGTTCCTTTAATCTTGAAATTATACTCAATCAAACAGGGTTACCTTTTTTTTGCGCCAACCGGTATTTCCTGGGTGAAAACTATAAACTATACAGTATTAACTAGTTTTTATTATAAAACAAGAAAAATCACCTATGACATTCATATTTGTAACCATTTCACATGTAGATGATTGAGACTTTTCATACTCTATTTGCTGAAATGATTGCTCGAGAATTGAAGGTTTGTAAACAGTGTCATCACCAAATCCTAGCAAAAACTGTTCATCTTCAACAAAATTATCCATCTGGGGAGTTTAGGAAAAATATATTGAATAGAAAAAAGATAAATTGAATTTCTTCAAAAATTAAATGTAAATTAATACTGTTATATTGCCATACCGTACCATTAAATTTGACCGATAAGGTCTTTGAATATTGGATTCCATATAATCACTAGCATCTAACAACTGAAAAAAAATTATATGTTTATTATTCCAACCTTTGTCTTCTCATTTATACCAATTACAAAGTACAATATTACATAACATTTTGATTGATGCTTATATAATATATATGAACAGTTATGAAACTCAGGTCCTCTTGCAATCAGTTAATAACCCATACTTATATAATCTAAAGCAGCCCTGCATAAGCCATTTTACCCTATTAATTTTAAATAAGTTTATTTTTCAACAACTTGCATATACCATAATTGTATTTATGGCATGTATATTGCAGCATTATAGAAATTTTAATACTAAATGTAATCCTAACCAACTAAAACTAACTACAAATAATTCACATAAAATATTTATGACTCATCTTGTCAGCGTATTTCAACAACAATTTTATCATAACATTACATCTCTTCATAGAAACCTATTCCACCTTTCAGATTAACTGTAGCTACATATAATTATTAACTGTCTTAATTATAGCCAACTGGTACATATGCAAATACAGGCTGCATATATTTACCTCATGTGGTAAATCAACATCATATTCTGTCACATCACTGCTGTCACTATTAATTGCATCATTTGCATGTCCATTAATTAGATGCTGGATAGATGAAGAAATTGGCTCTAAATGTGAATTAATTTTTTGTTTGATTGTCAGAAAATGTATCTGCATGTAGATTTACCCTGGTAGCACGTAAAGACTACATCATACAGGGCCGACACATCACAATAATATAAATAATGAAATTAAACGTTTGAAACACAATTAACCAACTCTTTATATGTACTTATGGCAGCAGTTCACGTATCTTTTCACTTCTTATAATTTTATATTAATTTATAGCACACCTCTATTTAAATGCGAAAATCCAGCAAGAAATTCATCGTATGTTTCTTGTTCTTTTACGAAAAGCAGTTCCAAGGCTTCTTTTGTATGTGTATCTAGTGTTTCTACGTTTGTTGTAGAGTTACTCGACATCTCATTTTTATCTTTCGCCATATTGTGACAAACTGAAATAACAACACGAGATTGATACCCGGAGATAATTACCAAGCGCCCTGATAATGACCGACCGGACATTAAATATAACCGTGATCGTAAACCATGGCTTCACTTCAGTGTAGAGTAACTCATTTATAGTATGTACCGAAGCCACAAACTCTTTTTTTTCAAAACATTCATTATTGTAATTCTTTATATTTTTCAATTATAGATATTCCACAAGACGTACGTGCTTGAAATTTCCAAATTTATGGAGACGCGCGTGAATAAGCGTGTTGTTATCACTACAATCGTTGGTTTGGCTTTTGTGTAAGTCTTTGGTCTCATTTATAATATCAATGTTCATATGTACCAGCTATATATTCACCTTAATTTTGTATTACCCATAACATAATACACATAAATTTTGTCAAGTCTAAACCTTAGCGGTCCTACTAAACACTCGAACCTTAGATGCAAGTCTATATTATCCTTAGATGCATGTTAGGTAGTGATTTCTTTCAAAGTTAAATTTTCGTTCAAAGATTACATTTAGGGTTTGGCATATACTCCAAAATTTAAAGACTGCGGTCATCTAGTATTTCATAAACATTCACCCGCTGCTGGTCATGTCAAAGGGATCATGTTATTGCAAACTGAAAAGTAGGAGCTAATGAAACAGCTACATGATTGTATAATTTGTCTGTTAAGTTCAATATACATTTGTGCTAAACATATAAAACTCATTCATATTCAGGTTTCTCTTATTATCGACACGGCGATCAAAGAATAGTCAATCTGATAGTTCATCTTTAATTGCAGAACTGAAAGGTTAGAAATTTCAGCTTGTGTATGTTGATTATATAATTAATAATTGATCATTAATCATTGATAAATGATGATTAAACCTGCAAGAGCCATGCCTAGTTATATAATGCCTTCATAATATAATTATACATGTCTGTTATAGTAATTACAATAACTTACAATGTTTAAAACATGTAAAGTATGTATCTGTTTAGTTAAGCCCTGTATGATTTGAAGTAACCTGCAGTGACTTGCAAATTGTGCTAGGGAAGCCATCAAATTATTTTAGTAGTCATGTTTAATGTTTAGTCTAAGGCCTGGTCAGTTTCATATATATGTTGCAACTATTTTTTGGAAAGCAAACATTTTTCCTTTCTTCATTGTACATACACACTATCACTTTTTCTCCATGTAATTGTTTGCTGGTACCTTATAAAGGGAAATATATATATATATATATATATATATATATATATATATATATATATATATATATATATATATATATAAATTTGACTATATGTATTTTAAAATACAATGTGCTGTCTGAATATCTAACACATTTAGGTTCGCTACAGCTCTACATTAATATGAACTGTAGTTTAAGTTAAAAAAAAATAAGAAAGATGCAAAATTTAGGCTATTTTTGCATCAGCAGGCCCTCACTTGTTATGAGCAGAACTTGTGTGCAAAACGGACTTGAGTTCCACTCTAAGATTATTAAAACTGATATTGATTTAATTCGTTTAGAAAAGTTGTGGAAAAAAGAAAATGAGATAGATGAACTTCAAGTGAAACATCAAGTAGAAATAAAAGAATTAAGAAAATCTTTTATTGCCAACAGTCATAGGTACCATTGCCATGTTCATAGCTCAATCATGATTTTTAGTAATTGATTTGAGGTTGGGCATAGATACATATACTGGTAAATTACTCCTTTGTTTTATTAATCTTTAATTCATTTGTTGACTTAGACTGCTGTTAAGAATGGTAGATGAACCCTCTGAGGATAATTTTCTCCTCTTCATCATCTAAATCTTTGTTTTTTAATGTTATTGGTAGACCCAAGCTTCCATCTCAGCAATCAAGAAATAGTCAGGATTATGAATCAAGTGTCATTAAAGAACTTAGAGGTTTACTTTGTGTAATTAAAATAACACAATGACCTTATGACATTTAATATTATATATTTAGTTAAAGTAGGTACCTGACATATTCTCATCCCTCTAACAATTATTAGAGAAACATATCATCAATATCATAATCATATAATTTTTGAAAAATACATTCTCACATAATTATTTTTTTAACCCTTAGAAAAATTGAGGAAAAAAGAAAATATAATCATGAACCTTCAGACACAGCAGGATATTAAAATATCAAATGTTAGGCCAAATCTGCACATTAAGTCAAGGTATTTTTTCATAATTCTTTTCATTTTTTCATAATTCTTTTAATTTAATACTATTGACTAAGATAACAGTACTTATCATTAATTACCCAACTTTGATGCAATGCTGGATGATAGATATCTACCTTTTCCACAAGATACATTCAGTGTGACTTTTAAAATATATTAACCTCTCTTTGAACTTGATGCTATATTTACTGCACAGTTACTTTATTTTGCAACCACATAGAATTGTATTTGTTACATGGTTTTAAATGTGGACATTGCATGGTCCCGTTTTATAGGTCTTTTAACAAGCTGGTTCATTTAGATTTGAAAGGTTCAGCTCCAAAGATGGATTATATTTTGAAGGTAATTTCTGCAATCTTCCTTCGAAGTACAGTAAACATCGTTATTTAACATAACGTATGCTGGACATTCTCCTTCGTACCTTCTCCGACTGATACTCGCAATACTGGTGCAGATCCGCGGCCGGCAGCGGTCTGGAACCCACGAAAAAAGAGGGTTCCAGACCGCTGCCGGCCGCGGATCTGCACCAGTATTGCTCATATCAGTCTTCGAAGGTCCTCGGAGAACTACATCTCCCCTTCAGGTAAGTACCTGACCCTCCGGGGAAATTTTATTTCTTTGTTATAGCTGCTTTCGTTTTTCAAGTCGTGGGGAGCAACAGGATTGTTAGTTGAATATGAGGATATGTTTCCATACGATGGAGAAATCTCTGTGTTAAAATCTCACTATGCCTACAGGTTAGAGATTTTAAACGTGTACATATGATTTAGAGAAAGGTTAGTTCTTAAAATGCTCTAGTTTTTACAAGCCGAGTTTATCCCAAGGATTTCGCTTTATCCAACAGACTACATTTCGACGTAAGGGTCTTCTCCCTCATTATGGTGGACTATATTTGGGAAAATAAATAAACATAATAAGGTCTTATGTTTTGATAATATATTACGAACACATGCAGATATTGTTATCAGAAAGATAAACCCTACTGTTTATTCACTTTTCTTTTGAAATGGCAATGGTATATTTCTCATATAATTTGTTCTCTAAGGTCAATATTGTTCAATAAGAAAAACTTTTTCTTAATGGTATCATGCAAACATAGAAACAAGACCTTGAATGAAAGTTATGCAATCGGTAAAAATTATTTATCGATATTCTTCTCTATTTAGTTTAAACGAAATTACGATGTTTCTAAAGGAGGTTCAGGCCCAACAACTGCTATTGGTACCTTTAGTTCAGACGTTTGGACACATGGAGGTAATGCATATATTGTTTTAAAATGAGTCCTTATTAAACACAGTAGACCCTGGCTAACTCAGACTCCCAAAGGGGAAAGAAAAATTGTTCGAGTTAGCGAGGGTTCGAGTTAGCCGGAGTCGGTGTCAGATCGCGTTTATTATAAGTTATTAGATACAGTAAGGTATAAAATTCAATCGAATCATCAAGGAATATCATGCGTACCAAAATGAATTGTCACCGAGAGTGGACGACGTTTTAAAATTAAAAAAGGCTAGATTAATAACGACCGTGGCACTACACAAAATCTGTGAAAATTTATAAGCATCTATAGACAATTATACACTGATTAAGTTGTTGTTGTTTCAATAGAAATGCAATTTTGCTGTTGTTTCGATAGAAATGGTATCTTCTCACATTTTAAGGTTTGACGATCTGCAAAACTAAAACAAAGTTCGAGATAAACGGATATATTTGACCAAGGGAAAACAAAATTTGTTCGAATTAACGAGGAGTTAAGCGGAGTAAATTACTATAAAGAACATTACCAAATCCTAGGGGGATTGGATTTAGTTCGAGTTAGTGAGAAGTTTGAGTTAAGCGAGTTCGAGTTAGCGGGGGACTACTGCACTTGAATATCTTGGGCCGGTTGTTCGAAGGGCGTTTAGCTTAAACGGTGGATAAGCCAAATATCTTGTACTTCTTGTGAATGACTGAACCTGCATCTTATGTATTAAATATGTACTTCCATTAAAAATTGGGCTATTTACATCGAAATATTTCTGCTAATTTGATTTTTTTCCAATTGTACACGCCGTTTAAGCTAAACGCTTTTAGTACAACCGGCCTCTGCAACTAATGTGGTCTGCTTATATATGATAATCACCCTGCCTCTGGTAACAACACTCTCTAGGCGCAAACAACGAGAGATTCTGTGATCATCCTGATCCATGGTCTTTGAACATGTCGTAAACCACGAGGCGGCTGTAACATGTCAACTTCACTTTAGATATTTAAATCCTAGTTGACCCCAAAAGTAAAGATACCCATTCGCCATGCAATTAGAACTATCATAAAATCCCGGCCTTTGTCCTTTTAGCCTAAACACTAATAAAACTGGGCACTGGTACCAATTTGCCGTGTCGTGCTAATAAATTGGGTGTTGTAGCTATAAACGGGCTTACTGCATGGATATTTTAACTCAACTAACCCCTTCAAGCTTTAACTAACGACCTTCTCATGCATGCAACTTTGTCCATTTGGTTTCAGTTTGTTCTTAAACACCCGAAGTTTGCCCACCTAAGACATGTTGCAAACATGACTACCGCTATAGATCCAAACAATAGAGGTTAGTAACTTTTTCGCTTTTAGGTAGAAATTGAAGGGTGCCGGAGCATATTAAGATATGCAAGATAAAATGTTGTAACATTGCCATTGGTTTAGCTACAAGTTAAAAGTAAAAAATTCCTTCCCCGCAGGAAAAATACAAAACAGCTATTTTATTGACATATTTCGTGAGGGCAAATGTTGACGAAAACGATATATTCAACGATCTTTCTTTAAACCAAGGCAATGTTGAAAAAGGAAGCTGTAGAAATAATGAGGTCCATTTGCCCCCCCCCCCCCCAAAAAGACAGCTTGTATTACATTTATTGGTTATTCATTGTAATTTGAATTTTCACAGATACGCATGAAATTGACAGAATTTAGAATTAGTAGCTGAGACGAACTTGGTGTTAAGTTCATCCAGACGGATAATTCGTCTTCAAATATAAACGGAAACAATACGAATTTCCGCCAAATTTTCAGCTATATGTTACTTCGTGTATGTATGTCACATGACTTTGTCATCGGCTTTCTCTGGATTGTCGTATATACATATTGTGTGAAAAGGAGAACAATCATAGCTTCCAAATTATAGGGAATGTGCACTTCCACCCTGTACGTAATCACAGTCTATTGCAACTATTTTTAACGTACAAAATAATTAATATTTGAGTTTATTTTGTTGCAATTATCCAACCAGGTTCTCTACCGCTGGTCAAAATGATGGTAAATCAAATAGTCCGAATGCACAAAGGCTACATCAAGTATTTGCATATTGGCGGAGATGAGGTGAGTCAAACCCCATGGTATGGCTTAAATTGTCCAAAACTGACCTTCGACTTCACTGCAAAATAGATACAAAATCATCAATTTGTAGAGCGTTAACGCGGGCATTCATCAGGGAACGATCGTGAACAATCTGGGATAGCGCAATCTACAAAATAATATGCAATCGCCGTATTTTTGCATCCTGTAAAAAAATACATGTACTGCTATCTCTACAAATTATTTATCGAAATAAAAAAATCATCATGCTCTTGTCACGTATATTAGGATCAGTGATGCATTATCATCACATGAATACACTAATTATACAGCCGGGGGTATTTTACTGGGAAGTAAAACATTCGTAGGACTTATACGCCGCTACATCCGAGGTAAAATGTCACGTTTCGGAGTGACATAACGAGTTTGAAAATTTTTCCGCTATTTTCATTGTTGTGAAAATAGAAATGGTCTTTGGTTCGTATATAAAGCGAAATTAACGTTGGAAATAGAAACGAAAACACTTGACATCTTTTGATAAGTAAAATTTATTCTACTTTTATGTTTACGCTATAAAAGGTATAAGGTATATTTAAAAATATTCCTGTTTATAATACCTGGTCTTTCGCGGCTTATTTACTGGTCGTCTTCGCATGTATTTTTATTACTGTTGTAATATATAGGTAAACATGCTGCCAACATACTTAAAAGTTAGTCAAACTTTATTCAGGTTTGGAGTTTGAAGGCATGTTCTGGCTGCAATGTTTCTGCGGCAAGTGAAGTTTATATGAAGCACATGTTGCCTGTCATTGACCATGTTGTATCAAATCAAGTTACTCCAATATTATGGGATGATATGATGAGAAGGTGGAATGTTGATGATTTGAAAAGTGAGTTCAGGAAAGCCTTCATAATAAAATAGCTTGTTCAAATTGGAGTTTAGCCAATTGCAGCGTAGATGTGAATCATTTCAATTATTCGTTTGAAACCTGCTGGGAGGTATTACGAATCAATTGTATTGCGTGATGGATAGTATTGTATGAACTATGAAAGTATATACGTTAATATCATTGCTAACGTTTGCTGCCTTGCTTAATTTTAACGGTGTAGTGAGTTTGCCTGTCGTGTTCGTATTTCCTCTATTAACTTTACACCATGCTCGATATGCATATAACGTTCTGTTTATTTATTCTTTAATTTGTAATTATTTGTTTTAGATATCGCTGCTCGTGCCGTTCAGCCAATGATATGGGCTTACCCAGCTCGACTTGATAAACATTTTCCTCCGGGTAAGGATATTTAATTTAGTATACCACCTTTTACTTTATTTATTAACCTATTCTTCCAAATAAACTATGTAGTTTCAAAATCTATTTGTTTTTATACCGGATTCAACGTGTGTTTAAAAATCATGCTAACCTGTGATAATCATGTTACTTGGAGAATCTAACTTAGTATCAAGTGTGATATAACAACTGCCTAAAATAGACAAAAGCACTTCTCGACGTTTCGACCTGAGAGCCTTCGTCAGGATAGTTAGTAAGTACTCTGATACTAACGTGACAAAGGCCGTCAGGCCAAAACGTTGCGAAGTGTTTTTGTCTATTTTAGGAAGTATAGTTATACCACATTTAATGCTAAGTTATTTGAAGACGCTGCCACGCTGCTCCCTGGTTATACTGGAGAATCTAGGTTACCTTTTCATAACAATTTGTCTTGTTCGGACTATGCATCTTATTTTTTACTTCTGCATGCATCAGAGCTATAAAATGTTTCCGAATATTCCATCACAATTTTCAATTTTTTTTTTCTACCAAAATCGTACGTCGTCACTGGTGGGCAAACGATTTTAATACGGCGTATTTCATGAAACGACCTCAAAAAAATAAACTAATGAGTTCAATTTCGCGCATGCAAGTGTCTTATTAGCACAGAATACGTATACTAAGAACTGTATAACTATATAGAGGTTATACTCGTGTCCTCAAATTTTCCTAAAATGTTCACGTCATGCACATGCACGCCAGGCCACTTGCTGCACCGATGGCTGCCTGTGATAAATTTTTTTTCTGCCGTTCTGTAGTTTGTTGGCTTTTAATTGATATAGCTAAACAAAAAAAGATATTTTTTAATGAATTTTCGTCTCCGAAATGCTAAAAAAGCCCAACGACTACGAGCTTCGTCAGATGGCGTATAGGTAAAACCACAGAGCTTGGCACGAATATGATAAATCTCGTAGTCGTACTCGTAGTCTTTCCTAGAGCTCTCTTTTGACAGAGCTAACGGCGTCAAGCTGGCAGCGTTCACAAGGACTTGCAATAGAGCGAACGATCTCGGCTTATTCAGCCCAAAAATTCTCCTACTGATGCATACATAAAGAAATTCCACGACTAACTTCAAAGAAATTCATAAAGAAATTCCGTACTATTTCGCCTCATGGAAATAGGTCTTTATAGAAGTGTAAAATTAATGTCAAAAAAATAATGTTTTGTGACATTCATAATCGCTTTATTACAAAGTTTTGTTTCATCGATGCACTTTTATAGGAATGTGGAACAGATATTCTGAAGCATTCTCGAAAGTCTGGATAGCAAGTGCATTCAAAGGTACGTACGCCTGAATTCTAAAAGCATACTCACACTCAATGAGTAGAGGGTTCATTACTCGTAAGTGCAACTCTGCACTCACCGAGTGCTCTTTCACTCTCGATGAGTGGGAAGCTTGCCCTCGGAAGAAGTCGTGTTTGAACAGAGTATGAGCGTGGCAGAGTTGCAAAAAGAGTTCAACCTTCCCCGGTAGGATTTCAAGTTTTGAAAACCTTCCTGAAAATGACGTTACGTCACTGAGTCAAGTGGCAACCAGCATAAAGAAATATTTCGTTTTTTGGTACATCCATGTGATCAATTCGAGTGTTCGACTTCCTCACAAACCTCATTCAAGGCAAACCTTCCTCACGGGTGGTGCCCGCCTACCCACAGCATTTTTTCAACTCTGGAGCGTAGCACTCCCTTGAACAACACTCAAACAAAGTTGTGATAAACAACATGGAGAATCTATGGCTTGAAAGATTACAACAATTGGATTATTTGCAACTCATTAACAGAAAGGAGTATAGAAATTACTTTTTAAACTATGAAATTTATGATGAGGAGCGATTTAAAGCAGATTTAGATCAACTAAGGATGGTTTTAGGGAGATTTATGACATACGAACGAGGGAATCCAATTCCTGCAGAAATTAAGCTTTTATTGACTTTACGTTATTATGCAACTCGCACGTTTCAGGAAGCATGTGCGGACCTTTGTGACATAACACAACCGTCTGTAAGTCGTATTACTAAGCGCGTATCTGAGGCCATTGCTCGACTGAAAATTCATTATATCAAATTTTCTACTGTTTAAATGCTACAGCAAACTAAACTTGAATTCATGAGAATATGCTCGTGTCCTATAATGTTGTTGGGGCGAATTTTCACTGAATGTCCAAGCAGTTTCTGTCCCAAATCTAGAAATACAAGAACATTGTTGTGCGGTTGCCAGGCAGTGTGCACGACTCAAGAATATGTATTAAACTCGCTTGTGCGCGCAGTTGGGGCGTGGTGACATCCAAGGCATGCTTCTCGGTGATAATGGCTATCCGCAACTATAATTCTGTTATAAGTGAGTTCTCTAGTTCAGAAAAATACTGTCTTATTTGGGACATATTGCACGTATGTATTGGTTATGTTAGTATCGTGTCTCTGCGGCGGAGTCAAACTACACTTCACTGATCTTGATAACAAGGGCGAGTACGACTCTGTAAGTGACACTTGGGTGACCTCAGTAAATACAAATTGAACAATATTTGTTGAGGATGAGTGCTACCTCAATGAGCAGAACATATTGCTCACACTTCACTTTGCTCACACTTCATCTCTTTTTGATGAGTACACCTCACAGGAATGGCACTCAAGTGTGATAAGCTTTCACAATACAGGTGGTAATATTACATCGCTGGCTTTATCTGAAAAATCGTTGGCTTTACCCGAAAAAGCCTATCAATTATTTAAATAATTTAAATAAAAAATGGGCAATGAGTTTGTTCAATATTTTTGTTAAAAACGGCAATCTTTTTTCGTTGCAACAACGGGGGAACCGTCGTTCTTGCCAACTATATATATACAACAAACAACGCTTTCCCAATCCTGAATTGCTTATTATGGAGTATGGCGTTTAAAAATATATACTTTTTATAGGAGCTGACACGCCATATACAAACTTTGTTCCTATACAAGATCGCATTGATAATCACAAATCCTGGTTAAAGATATTATCCATGTTGTCCACTCAAAATGTGAAAGTGAATGGAATTGCACTAACTGGATGGAGCAGGTATTATGTAGTATAAATTCAGCTATACTTTACGTACATGCACTATCGTATATTTACTGCAATTAAGCCATGCGGCATAGAATCGGCTTTCTTTCTGTGTATATTTGGAATGTGGAATCGAAATTATATTTACGATTTTTAAGATACGATCACTACGCTACGATGTGCGAGTTATTACCTGCTGGATTGCCATCCTTAGCGTTATGTTTAGCTGTTTTGAAAGAAGGTCAGTTCATTTCATCTCTAATGTTAACCGAATCGAACATTTTATTTCAAGCTTTACTTAACCTCTTATTAGCTGTGTTTATTCTAAAGACGAATAATTCGTCTCGATAGACGAAATTTGTGCTTACATTTAATACGTGAAATATTACACGTTTGACGTCTTTGAAGAGGAATTAACTTTTACTCGGATTTGCATGGACATTGTTACGTATTTTTATTGCATGAGTGTAACCTCTCACATACATTTATTGTTTTGCACTGTTTACAGGCGACCTTTCAAACCAAACATTATGGGCTGTATCGCAACAGCTTGGTTTTAAATCTCCTGTTCTTTTCGATGTTTATGACATTCCAAGGTGCGTATCAGTCTTATGTGTCAGAAGTAAGGATGGAAATTGCATGTGACTAGTACTTACATGTGACGAACTGAATTGCCCGCTGAAATCTACAACATGCAGATTCATAGCTACAACATCGAACATTGTATATAATGCATGCATACATTAGAAAAATTAGCTACACGTAGAAGTTTTACATTGTTTCCAAATAGGATATATCACTTAAAAATTATGGGAAAGCCTGGAAATATTTTTCAATTTTCAGGGATCTTCAGGATAGAGACGAAGGGCGTTTCCTTGGTCACAGTGTTTATGGGCTTGTTTTAACTCTGCAGAGGGCATACAATGCTTTAGCATCCGTCGAGAAACGGTAAACTGATATTACTTTATATTTCTTAGTTTATGTATATAGGACAAATTAATGGGGTGAATGGAGCCAACGAATGAGATTTTGTTCTTTCCACGAGCTACCAGTAATTCCATAATTCCATATCTTTTCGAAACAATTTGATCTGTTTCTTATATGGACGTTTAGTTTATAGTGACGTGGTTACAATGCGTAATCCTTTGAATGCCAGTAAAATATATCAACATTTTGTTGTCTTTCCACTCCGTTCCACCCACCACCAACGGCCGATTGTATCAAAGCGGAATCACGGATATCCACCGTATATCATTGTAAAAACGCCTAAAAACGCAGTTGAACTAAAAGATTTAAATGCACTGATGCATTAATTTCATCAATCGTAGATTGTCATTCATCCATACGCAAAATGACAAATAATAACTCTTTTCATTGGCGTACGGAAGACGATAATTGGGGGGGGGGGGGTTATATTCATTATTATATTAATGTTGTGCAAGATTAATTTCTTTTCAAATCCACTGTCTTTACAGGTCTGTTAACAAGAATATGTGCCCCCCCGCCAATTTTTTTCTCCCGTATGCCACTGACTCTTTTATTTTATTAATAGAATGCCTGCTTGGTTTAATCAAAGACAGTTTGCACAATTGAAAATTAGTTTCTTTCAACTAACGATATCTTTACAAAGAATTGAAAGGTATATTAATATCAAGCCATTTTAAAATTTAGCCCCCCTCCCCCATAAAAGAAATGTCCTTACGCCTTTGCACACGTTCTTTTTAATACCGTCATGTTCATATTTTGTTCTTTTCATTATAGTGCCACAATGCGACTAAAAAAGTTAACAAAGCTGGTCGACAACACGTTTTCTAAATTTTATAATGACGACACAATTAATGAATGGATATGGGACAAAATTAAAAATAAACTGTCGCGTGCTGAAGAGCTAAAACAGCATTTGATGAAAATCCGTACGGCTGCACGCGAAGCTGAACAACGAGTATTAAAACCTGATACTAATCAGGTCGTTAAACGAGAATGACAATCCTAATCGCTTAGTTTATAAATAAATTTAGTAATTATTACAGGGGCTAGTAAGCATGTACGTGCATGGTTACTTGCAACTGTCAATTCTATGTATTTATTTGCCAACGAAGACCATAGCTGGAGACTGATATTGCTAACAGGTTCATGTTTACCTTACGTGAGGTTGGAGAGGAACAACATCCACTCGGCACAATAACAATAAAACAAACGTGTTTTTTCTAGTTTTCGTGATACTGGCTGGTAACTTTTAATTAAATGCAATTAAATCATTTGGATATGGTTACAATTTGGTTTCCCACAACAGAAATTATGTTCGATTAGTTGTTCGCTGGGGGACCAGTGTGGACCAGTGTGTGTACTATCCTGGTTAGTCGGAATGAATAAAGGTGGTTTGAATAGCCAGCAACATTCCATCGTAGTAAAATTAATTTTAATGTAATAAATATATCTAGTTATGTTAGTTATTAAGTTAATAAAAGATACTGTAGTACGAGTGACTGCTAATCAGTTAAGCGTCAGGAGAAGTGCGAGATAGAACGAACGGTTGATTTGGAAATAGTTAACGTTGTAATAGACAAAGTCCTACGGAGATCCACCCTTCAGGTACTGAACTTTATCTGTTTACATGTATGTTTGTAGTTTGATTAGTGTTTATGTTTATGTTAAAGTTTAGTTTGATTCATCGTATGAACTAAGAAAATGATTGGAATGCATGTATCTTTATACCTTTTACTTTATATAGTTAAACTTAAGTTTAACTATATATAAGTAAAAGGTATAAAGATACATGCATTCCAATCATTTTCTAAGTTCTTACGATAAATCAAACTAAACTTTAACATAAACATAAACACTAATCAAACTACAAACATACATGCAAACAGATAAAGTTCAGTACCTGAAGGGTGGATCCCCGTAGGACTTTGTCTATTACAACTATTTCCAAATCAACCGTTCGTTCTATCTCGCACTTCTCCTGACGCTTAACTGATTAGCAGTCACTCGTACTACAGTATCTTTTATTAACTTAATAACTAACATAACTAGATATATTTATTACATCAAAATTAATTTGATTATGATGGAATGTTGCTGGCTATTCAAACCAAAAGGGACATTCAACATACCCTGACTTGGCTCGTTTCCTACCTCGGACGGTCGCTGGATTATTTCGAAATGTGTGCGCCGGGTCTCCGAGTTGCTCTAGTTGCTGGGCCCGTTCTACAGGCCCTCTTGACTCGTGAAGTACTTAATTCCAGCCTCGTTCCCAGGCTCTTGGAAGTATTTCGCGGTACTGCACTGAGCGCGCGGGGGTGTTTGGGGGGTGCTTGGGAATTCGCGTCTCCAGCTGCAAATTCCCAACCTCCCCAAGCACCCGCGCCCTGTATCCGCGAAATACTTCCAAGAGCCTGGGAACGAGGCTGAACGATAGTTTTGAATAGTTGTAACATTTGTGTAAGCGTAGTCTCGCTTTATGCTCTCAAGAGAACATCTCTTCAAACTTTTGATTGTGTCGACGAATTTCTATGTGAAACAAATTATATTATATAAAAATTACATTAGTGTTTTCAGTATTTTATACTAACTCACACGGCAACAGATCATATACGGATACTCGCGCTAAAAATACAGACAACATTTGTTGAAGATGAGTTTTACCTCAATGAGCATAACATATCGCTCACACTCCACTCATGCTCACACTTCAACTCTTCTTGAGTACACCTTACTGGAATGGCTCTCAAGTGTTAGTGTAAGTAAGTTTCAGAATACAGCCGTTAGTGTTTATATAGTAATATTACTCATTGTAGTAGACCACGTTTAAACTAGCATAGGCTAACAGTGGATCTTGTTCAATTACAACACTATTCTAAAATAAATCCTTAAGGAGCAAGCACGCGCAAAAAACACCTCCCCCCTTCCGATTTTGTTAATAATCAACTTTAGCTTCGGGGTCTTCTCGCAACTCGCGATAATTGGTATTATTTCCGACTTTTCCTTGAGTGCAGCCGTACTGGTCTTTGGATCGCGATTTTAGGAGAACGTCTTAAAAATTTTAAGCAGTATGGGCAATTTTCTCAATACAGTCATCTTACTCGCAATTTGTGTGTGTTCAATTGTGGTAAGTTTATAAATTAAGTAAATGCTTTGCATGTATGCGCTTATTTAAATATGTTTATCGGCTTTAATTAATTGTAGGATCTACTTGCCGGCGTCTGTTTTGGCTTGACTGGATTAGACGTCTGTTTTGGTTTGACTGGATTGCTAATCTTATCATTTTGTATTTCATAATTTGTCGAAGATTAGAAAATAAAATATGGCTGTACTCTTACATCAGTGTGAGCGCATGGAATTTGAATTATTTGACCGCGTGTGAAACCCAAGAAGCCGTCCGAAATCAATCTACAATCATAAATTTGTTTATTAATATACTCGCCTTTATAACGAATCTAGACCTTAGAGCGGTACCAAACATGGCCTATAATGGTAGTCGATGTCCATTTCAGTTGTCACGTGTGTCAGTGTGTGAACAGATATGCTCCGCTTTTGAGACCAAACGACTATAGCTCTTGAATGGTATATTCACTATATTGTGGTTTATCAGTGTTCCATCCATAGTCGATCCGAAATTTTCTCACTACATTTATTAATTTTCGTTTCTGTTGCTGTGAATTTAAATTCAAAATATAGCGACCATGAAACTAATTTCGGTATGCTCTTTTTAGCTGTAGTGATTTATTTTCTGCTTATCACCTAGATTATTATCTAGGTGACAAGAGGGAAATTCCCCCAGCTAAAAAGAGCATACTGAAATTAGTATAATTGCCAAGTTTGGCCGCAAAATGTCAAGTACAATCGAACCTCGATGCAGTCGATGCGGCCACCCTCGGGGATAGGCACTGTGGTCGCTTAATAGAGGTGGCCGCTAAATAGAGGTACGCAAATAATCGACTCTGGACGTAGAAAAAAATCTATTCTTAATTATAAATCACGGAATATAATAGTGAATAGACTTTAGAAATATCAGGCAGTAGGTAATAAAGAATTTTCAGGGAGTAAATAAAAGTGGAGGCTATGGGTTGGAAATTCCATGCGAATTTCATTTTACAGGAGATGAATTTGAGATCAATTTGGTAAAGGAAAAGGTTAAAAAGGAGGGATTTAACGCGAAACAATGCCGCCATGCAAACATTGCTTTTGAGGTGTAAAGTGGCATGTGTTATGACATAAGTTTTAAGCATCATATTACAAATAAAGCAAATTAGCTCGACTTTTAGCTGTCGACTCTCCACAATTACCTAGACTTAATCCTGCAGGCTGGCCGCTTATTAAAAGTTAAAATTGATATAAAACATGATTTGGGACTGCTCTTTGGGTGGCCGCGGCCCCTAATAGAGGTGGCCGTTTAATAGAGGGATAGTTAATAGTATTTGTATTACAAAAATTTCGGGACTTCGATATATGGCCGTTCAATAGAAGGTGGCCGCGTAATGGAGGGCCGCTTAATAGAGGTTCGACTGTAATACGGAAAATATAGCAATGCAAAGTAGCCAATTTTGTATACTTTTTTTACCAATTTTGTATACTTTTTTACTACGGCCGGAAGCATTTAACTAATTTAGTTACACACTTCTGCACTTTTCGGAAATTTCCTTTTTGTCGCCTAAATCAAAAGTTGGTCTATTATGCAAAAGGTCCTCGGTCGATCTGTACTCGAGCTTTCCAAAAAAATGCCAAAAACCAAAGTGGATAAAGTATGTCGGGAATGTATTTTGACTGTCGATTTGTAGATGATAGACAAGTACAGTACAAAGCCATAGCCATCGGCATAGTTGTAGACTACATGTACGATGTATAAACGGACGTGGTGACGCATACACGATGTTTAGAAAACACTATAGCCATAGGCGTAGTATACATGCGTCAATACAGAAGCATCATTTCACAAATATCTGCGCCTCTTGCTTTGATGCAAATACGATGACACTGCGACGTCCATGTAGCTACTATTGACAAATCCAGATTAGCTCAGGCAGGATTTTTTCACTAATTCTCAATTCTCAATTATAATGATTATAGGAAGCAGAGAATTATGGTGATTCTATTTCAAATGCCAATCATACCGATAAGTGCTTCAAACACCGACTTTCAAACTTTCCATGTTCAAGCACGGTAAGTTAATTTCCCACTTGTCTCCAACTTTGTATTAGCTTTTGAACGGAGTGATATAACATTCAAGTGGTGGTGCGTGGATGCAATGCCATCTGTTACGATAAGGCTTAATTGCGTTTAGTTATATGCATGTTAAAAAAGTAGAAGATATCACCTGGCATGAAGTGGATAAGTAATTGATGTTTGACATTTTGTGAGATGTATTAATGTAGTACATGTGAGTACATCAATCACTCTCGCAATTATCACTTCTCTGGTTTAATTAATGTAAGTAATCTCCACACAAATATTACATTCACAACCCAGCGTTTTGACACTCCAGACTAGTGTTTTCATCGGGGGCAATCTGATGTTAAAACTCTGAACCTTATATATACTCTCAGCATGACGTCATCTATCAATCAGATGTAAATATTCTTTTAGCAAATAGCTTCCGTCGTCCCTATTTAGGGCACAAGACTCGCATTAATATGCCAGGCTTCCAAACAATGCCTTTGTCCATAACGATGGTTAGTGGTAATGCATTCAGAGTCGTTCCACGCAATGTTATCGTTTGTTTGACACACATGTTCCGCAAAGGTTGATTTATCTAAGTTCGAAGCGGCCTTGAAACGTGTGCCGAACTGACTTTTGTTTCGCCTAGATCATTCTTTAACAAGACGCCAATTCTGGCGGTTACTGCGTCGCGCCAATCGTTGCATGCAACTGTGCCCCATTTCCCGTCAATATTTATTCCTTTAGAAAAATGTTTCTTTCTTAGACCCCGTTTACACTACAGGGTGTATCAAAAAAAAGGGAAACCTTTAGAAATCAAGCTATTGTTAAAATTTGAATGCCTTTTCAATTGCATTTGCACATATGCTGAACCGTAGTGCGCGAAATATTGATGCATACATTAGAAAAAGGAGACCTTTAGAAAATGAATTGACGTTTGTACACAAGATTGTCTGCTCCTGGGAATTTGAAAATAACTTTAACAGCTAGCATAAGCAAAGATAACGACCCAAAAATATTCAAATGACTAAGCAAACTACCAGTACAAAAATGGTTCAACTGACTCCGGAGCAAAGAGTTTTTGTAGTCTTAACTTATACCCAGACTCGCAGTATAGCTGAGGTGCAAAACGCTTTTCGAGAAAGGTTTCGTGATCGCAATCCACCAGTAAAAAGTACAATTTTTAAAAACGTGCGAAAATACTTGAATGAAGCAACGAGTGTAATAATTGAACAGTGTAATGCATTACGAGGGCAGCCTGCCGTCATCAGAAAAGCAGTTCGCGATATGCAGAAGCGTACGATAGTTTGTGTTAAGAGAAATGGAGGCCACGTTGAAGGACATGGTCCATGACATTCAGTTCTTTTGATGTTCAATTTATCAGTAATTTTCAATCCAGATCAAAATGTCAAGTGTCTGTGTCAGATCAAGTTGTAATTCATTCCTGACTCATGTAAACATTTTAATAGCCAGGGTTTGTAAAATGGAATGCTGAGCCATTCCGGATTCAATTTCAATTCTAACTCATGTGAACAGCCCTAATACTCGCACGCAGTGTTAAAAATTAATGGCAAATATTTGTTCATGTTTTGAAGGAACAGCTAAAACAATCTACCATCAGTACCATGCATATTGTTATCGCTTTTGTGCTTAGTCATTTGAATATTTTTGGGTCGTTATTTTTCTTTATGCTATTAAAGTTATTTTCAAATTCCCAGGAGCAGACAATCTTGTGTACAAACGTCAATTCATTTTCTAAAGGTCTCCTTTTTCTAATGTATGCATGCACGTTATCAATATTTCACGCACTACGGTTCAGCATATGTGCAAATGCAATTGAAAAGGCATTCAAATTTTAACAATAACTTGATTTCTAAAGGTCTCCTTTTTTTTGATACAACCTGTAAACAGCAACATGAATCCGGTACTAAAACATTCCGCTTTCGTGATAAATCCGGAAACTTTCGCTCAAGTGTAAACGGGGTCTTAGGGTTTCTAGTAAATAGAGCACTTGGTACAGAATATAGGGGTAAAACTGCATTATTGGTGCTTGGCAGACGTAGCTAACGATATACGTGAATAAGGCTGAGTTTGGAATCATGTACTCTAGGAATCAGTTTGTACTGAAATTCAATAGGATCAGTCTGGCCGTTTTTACCCTACAAAGGAAGGTGCGGTTTGATTAAAAATTGGCATAGAATGGCATACAAGGCTTTCATTGCACACAAGGCTTTCATGGCATACAAGGTTCCTGCAATTAATGGCATACAAGGCTTTCATGATTCATGTGATCGTTGTCTGTAAACCCGTTTTAGTGTAGGTTTACCACGATCAGTGTGTGCTAGTGTATGTAGAGTGAGCATATGAAACAAGACAAGACGAGAATCCAGCATTATGATTACCTGTACGTATTTTCTCGAACGACAGACGTCTAGACTTCCTGCGCTATCGGCCATGCACAGCGACTCGTGTACGTGTTATTTTATATGACGTGTATCGTGCATGCAGTTTCCTGCTTTTGGTTCGCACGACCCGAGTTCGAATCCCGGCGACAACAAACTTTTTCAATTTTTGTTTCAGTAAAATATCTCTTTTGTGGGGGTTACTAGGCTTAGATTACTATTTGAAGTGTGTTTAGCACGAAAATATTTCGATACGAAATCAGACGAGTTCAAAATACGAGTATCTTATTTGGCCTGCGCGGCCAGGAAGACCGGGTCGAAAACGTAAAAAACACGAAAAAAAAACAGCAAAACACCGACGGCAATTTTAGACTGCGTTTGCGCAGTGCGCAACGCAGTAACAATCACCACATGGTTTAGAGTATGCAGCATGAGTTTTCTGTTTAGTCGCTACCCGATCCTTGGGTTTGCCGAAAATATGTACCAATGTCTGAAAGGGTTTTAAGGCAATTTGATACCACATTTATTCAGGATCCTCCTGATTATTTCTGCAACTCCTTGAATATAGGGGACAACTGCAAAGCCCGTTTTTGAAGAATCACCCGCTGAGGAATTACATTTAGTTGCTGCAGGAGCTTTTAAAGAATCATTTACAAACAACACGATTAGGCTAGATGTTAACGATTCAGCTCTTTGAAAGTTTTTGCAACAGACTTAAGGCGGCGCACACTAGAGCTATGTGCTTAGCAAAAAGTCGTTCGTGGCCATTGGCGTAAGCCAGTTGCTCTCGTGTGCGGGCGACCTTTCCGGCGACTTTAAGCTATGACTTTAAACTGAAAGCTATCTGCTTATGAATTGTCTTAACAGCGCATGCGTAATATACGAGTAAGTAAACATCCAACATAGCGGTGCAAACAAAGCAAAATGAATTGGTGGCTGAGGCCATATTGGAAGACAAAATGGTTGATCTTTTGCCAGAATACAGGTGTTTATACGATGTGAATTCGACAGATTTTAGAAACAGAGAGAAACGGGAATGCGCTATTTCAGAAATAGCTAGTAAGCTTTCTCAAACAGGAAATATAATTAATAGCACTTGGATAACGGTGTTTAGTCTTGTCCGACGCAACAGCAAAAAAACCAACACCTCTTCGTCTTCTCTTTCATCCATAATTTTGTTTTTGCAATCTGCACGCCATGCATCTTGAATGTTTACTTTCTTATATTACGAATGCGCTGTTAAGACAATCCATAAGCAGATAGCTTTCAGTTTGCCGCACACGGAAAGATTTCGGCACGCGAGGCAGAAATTATTAAACATGCTAGATATTTGCCGTAAATGGCACGAATGACCAAAGTCGCCGGAAAAGTCGCCCGCACACGAGAGCAACTGGCTTACGCCAATGGCCACGAATGACTTTTTGCTAAGCACATAGCTCTAGTGTGCGCCGGCCTTTAGAGTTTCACCTCTAATAAATTCCGCGAGATGAGAGGAGATTTTTGCTGTGTAGACAGTATTCTCAACGCTCAGAGACAATATTCCAGCCAAATACCTCGAAAGATTATAAGTCGGAGAATTCGCAAAGGACACCATAGGTCGCAAAAGGATTCTCGAGTTATAAAACTTCGGTAAGGCATAGAATCGGGACATCCGAGATAACCCATCACTACTACGCAACAATTTGTACGTGACCTCGATAATTTTGTTGGCTTTCTTTAAGAGTAATAGGCGTTTGTCCAATTCTCCTTCAGTCTTACCATTTTAATCAGGACACTATAGGTTTTTTGTCATTGATTTTTGTCCAGCCATTTCCTTTCCATCTCCGTTAGCTCCTTAGTAGAGAGAAGTCTGGTGGCTTGTGTCCCAACAAACGTAACTTTTTGTCATGTTTCTCTTTCTGTTTGAGGAATAGTATGCGCTCCTTAGAACGACAAAACTCTTCACCCTGACATAACTTGCATGTCTGGATCAACAGTCGTCTGTCAAGTTTAACTGCCGCAGCCAAAAATATGCATGCTGTATAGGCGGGTGCAAGCTCTTATATTTATCTACTCAAATGCTATTATACTATGTGAAGCAGTAAGGAGTAAGTGAGTACTAAGAAAGAGAGTGGACTCACGGAGTAAAAATCGTGTGAACGTTAATTGAAAGAAGCTCAAAATACTACAAGAACAGACGAAGTCTTACACGACAAAAAGTCAGCGAATATCCGAGGCAAGAACCGATCCAGAAGCAAACATTAACGAACATTAGTTCATTCGTTTTATGAACATTATAAAGACATCCAAGGCCATGATAATTAAGAATTAAAAAACGAGTCGCGTGCCTTTATGGTGTAATAATGCACGATGGGGGAATGTTGGGAGAATACGAGAGAAGCTTGTAAAACACGAGGCGTAGCCGAGTGTTTTACAAGCTTCTCGAGTATTCTTCCAACATTTCCCCGAGTGCATTATTACACCATAAAGGCACGCGACGAGCTTTTTTAATTCTTTTATAATATAAGAAGAAATTTTAGGGCAACAACAAAATTTATTTATTTGATCAATAATGAAATTCTCCTTACATGTTATTTAAGATGTTGCTTAGCAGCAAAAACTTCAAAAGCCAGAAGCGTGCATTATGGCCTCACAATGCACGCGCGGTAGCCAATCAAATTGCTCGTTATATCATACTTCTGTCATAATTACAGTTTATAACCTAATGGTACCTAGTAATCTTGCGCTTAATTTTCAGCCAAACAGCACTCAGAACTGAAGTTTGTCAAATTAGAAATCGATTTTACATTGCATAACCAATCTTATTATTCTTTATGAACCAGCTGTTCAAATTTTGTGATTATGTTTAGTTAAATTATAGCTCTAACATATATTTAAAAGTTTATTTTATGATACTAAGTTTTATGAACTGAAAAATTTATTATTTTTCAAACCTATACCTAGTTCTTACCGGCCATTTCAGATTACTATGTTTACATCTGGATAAAGTGACAAAACTGGGGTGGGAAAATTGGGATGCATGAGTTTTGCTGATTACATTGTATTATTTATAGTGATTGTCTTAATTAAGACCTTTTTTCTAATTCTGACGCATTTTCCATTTGGACTAAGGGAAAAATCATTGGAATCGAGTTATATTGAATTCCGTTTGTCAAACTTCTGTTGTAAATCCATCCTGTTTACAATCTGCTTTTCCGACAGAATAGATAGTGTATGTTTATAATACATGCATGCATCTCCAGAGTTTTTGTTCATTCATTCCTTTCATATTTTTCTAGATTATGGGAAACCTTCTCCTTATTGTTTTCTATGGTGTAATATTGATTGTTGCTGCAAAATTGATTTCAGGTACTTATTTTGTACTATAAATGGAGTAAATAATGCTTAAAAAATAATTAATTAGGAATAAAGGAGTTTTTATGCATTTCATTTAGAACAGATTATCTCAATTGTTTTGGGTAAAATAACCATGGCGGTCAACATGGCATATGTGCCAAAATCTGAATCCGGGACGAAAGTCCTGAAAATGACCACACCCAGAAATGGCATCCTCGACATAGCTTTAAATCTTGAATTATCAAAGCTACAGTCTCTCTGAATTGTTTATATGGTTCAGAATGGTTGCTTTTAGGGGTGGTCACTGGAGGGGGAAATTAGCCTAAGTTTCATAGTCAACTGCTAATTATACATAAAATTACAGACTCACCTGGCAAAGTTTAATTTTCTAAATTCCAATCATTGCGCGGTGTTTTGGTATAATCTATACTTCTGTAATTCTTCATAAAGGTCTTATGAATTTAAAAATTAGACCAGACTGACCAGTAAGGTGAAGTTTGATTTGAATTCTACAAGTCATCAGATTTCAAAGTCAAACCTGAATACATTGTAGGGTGGAGAATTGGGGTGAGAATAAAAAGGTGAGACGGGTTGGGGGTAAAGCTCCTCCACTCCCCGGTGATGATTGTAGAATTGAAATCAAACTTCACCTTACAGGTAAGTCTCGTTAAATTTTTTAATTCTAGTACGTCATTAGCTAGGGTCGTGTCAGAGTAGTACGAGATTTCACAATGAACAATGAAGTCAGTTTTTATGTTACAAAGTAACAAACACAACAATGAGTAGCCAACCTTTATTGTATATAAGTCTATCCAAACATTACTCTATATATAATACAAAGGTGTCTTAATTATTTGCACTTATGGCAGATCCCAGATTAAAAGAAGACGTAATAGGCTTTTTAACGAAACGTGTTGGCATTTGACCAGCCAGCTGATTCCAATACCTGAGATGCCGATCTGGAACTATGACTGCCGAATTCTTTTGTGTGAATACCCGCAGAGGATAGACTGATAGTAACGTTTTGTACCAAAGTGAGATAGTTTCGCGTGACACTGCTTTGTGAGGCTTGATCAAGAGCTTGATGCAGTTGGGACTTCGGAATCGCTTTGTCCGTTAAAGATACTTCTTGCGGTGTGTTATGATGCACAGGGATGGTTCATCTGGATACGCTTCAAACGTAAGAGGTTCTATATGGTGTCCCGCCCGCGTTTGTTTAACTTCCTCCCGAATAACTGATTCACATTTATCGGTTGGTGTCTAGATTTAGGAGGTACTAATTGTTTGACATCGCTGTCCGCTAAGAAGTAACAGTGGAAATGTTACTTGGATAGTAAGGTTCTTTAATGTCAGTTCGTTTACCATTGGTTGCGTTCTGGAATGATTAAAAACAATATTCACGTCCCAAAGAGATTTATATCGCGGGAAGGAAGGTCTCAGTTCGAAAACACCTTTCATGAACCGTTTTACCAGAGAGTTTGACCAAAGGGGATCGTATTATTGTTTGTTTGACTAAGTGCAGACAAGGCACTGCATGCAGAATTTATAGCGGAGTAAAACAAACCGGAATGATAGGGATCTGTGAGGAAGTCTACAGTGTTAGTGATTGAAGGGTCAAAAAATTCAAAACTTGAAGTGCTACAAAATTGGCCCCATTTGTTTATGTCTGTTTGGTTATTGGGACTTTGCCCCTTTCCATGTCAGATCTTCAGTTCTATACTTTTTGGCAAGTGAGAGCAGCTGGACGTTTAAGGAGTGTCTGCAATTGTGGGCAAATCGGAGGGGGTTATTAGAAGTGGTACAATGAGTGGATACCAGGGTTGAGTTGCCAGTTTGGAATTACCAGGATGCCCATGGCTTTTTCCTGCATAATCTTTTGAACTGTGTGCCAAATGCAGCTAAACGGGGGGAAGCAGTAGAAATTTAGCGTGCTCAGGAAATAGAGAAAGCATCAATGTGTATTGCTTCGGGGTCAGACCGATATGTGTAGTAATTCGGAAACTGTTTGATTATTCGAGATGCAAATAAATCCATTTCTGGTGTAAAGGCGAATCTATTTATTGCTGATTGGAAATGACATGGATTTAACATCCATTCAGCATCACGATAAATATTGCGCGATTATCATTGTCAGCATTGATGTTATCTAACCCAGTTAGGCAGAAATCCCAAATTTCAATGGAAATTCTATTCAGTACCTCATTGAGGCTAGAACCCATGTACCTCATTGTGGCTAGAACCCAAACACGGCAGTACTGTTGTCCAGCTTGAGTTTAACATGTTTTCCCGTTAGCTTTTAGACAAATGACTTCAAGCCAAAAAAGCTGGTTTCTTTTCAGTTTTCAAATACGTTGATGTGGAAGTCATGCATCAATGAATGATAATGAGACTTTTCAATGTGAGGTTGCCAATACTGTTTTGAAAAGTTTGGTAACGTTTCTTGGGCAGGATGAGAGGCCATTCGGGAAAGTAGTAAATTTAAGCAAAGTACGTTTGTACGAAAATTTTTTAAAAATTTGATAATCAGGATGGATAGGTACACTATAGTACGCATCTTTCAAGTCTAGCGAGGCCATCCAACAACTTTTGTTATGAGTGTGAATATTATTCATTTAAAGTTTTCTAGTTTTCTACGGACTCGTTGAGTTTCTTAAGGATTTTTTTTGGAGTGATAAAGATAGGGAAAATAAATTCGATTGGATCGGAGTCACAAGGGACAATGACTTGTACTGGGCACATGCCATTAAACGAAATTTCAGTCCCTGAAACTATTGCTAAAATGTCAAGGTCAGTGGTAAGTTTTTCCTATTCCCTGCAAAATTTCGAAATTTAAAATGTTGTTAATAAATTCTTTAAATGTGTTTATCTTTTGTTATAAGCAGTCTAATTCTTTTTTATTTTTTTCTGATTCTGGTAATTGTGATGTAGAGGGTACTGTGCCCTCCTCCTCTAGGATAAAAAAGGCCTGCTTGTCTTTCGCCACCAAACACGAAAGGGCCGGCTTGAATTTCTGCCATATTTCCGGATTAACTTTCGGCACATACATTCCCTCACAATTTTCACTTGGCCGTTGATATTTGCTAGGAATTTCCTTTAGTTTAGGGCAGTATAGCTTCCTTCTTGTTTCGGATCAGATTTTCTTCTGATGTAGTGGATTTGAAAAGAGATCTTCCGAAGAGACTTCAAAACGCGACTTCCGTTCACGACAAGGCGTATACAACTGACTATATCGCGAATGGGTATGCTCTCTCGCACAACTCTGAAATGACCCTAGCTTATGACGTAGTAGAATTAAGCTTAATTTACCCACTTGACAAGGACGTTAAAATACTCGCAGCCGATCAGTATGCATGTAAATGCCCATATAGATCGGCCGCCCGTATTTTATTAATTATAGTAATTATCATAAATTATCATAAAGTAATATAATAATAATGATCCGATATGCATGATCCAGTAAATCTTGTCTATGTCTAGTCTAGTCGATATCAGATATATCTCGACAGAGCTAAGTAAATACATTTGGTCCCTAAAGGATAATAACATCAGATACGCTATATATATATTGGAAAATAATGGCTCGTGCAAGCTCGTATTCAAATATCGGGAAAAAATGTAATTTATGCATAATGGAAAAGTACTTCATTATTTGTAAACCCGAGTATTGTACTCATAACAAAAGAAACGAACTGACTAGTGCATGCCGGCATGCAAATAAGTTTTTAATTAAGAATGGATAGGTATCACACCACTATGAACGATCGGTACACGGGATATTCCAATTCAATCTGTACACGCACCTGAAGAGAGAGGAGCTTTAATAGGCCTCTCGAAACAGAACTGTAGTGCTTTAAATTTTTAATGAACAATTTTTAGGTTTTAATCTCCAATTCATTTCAAATATATATATATATATATATATATATATATATATATATATATATATATATATATATATATATACGTATATATATACAGGGTGAGTCAGAAAAAAGTCCCCTCTATTGAAATCAAGCCTTTGTTAGAATCTGATTGCCTTAATATTATGATAAACCCAATTGAAAGCAAGACGCTTTATTTGAATGCCTCAACCTAATAACTATGCTATTTACACACTACTGCGTTGATCATGCATTCAAATCAACAAAGGCTTCATTTCAATAGGGGGGACTTTTTTTTGACTCACCCTGTTATATATATATATATATATATATATATATATATATATATATATATATAAAGATAAAATAAAATAAACTTGGTTTACTTCATAAGATTTTATTCACTACAAACTTGTTTCGTATGACAAGCAACGCTTGCCACACTCATCAGGTGAATTTAAATGTCGCGCTATGTTGTTGCCAAGGTTATATATACTATATACATGTTTGACGTAAAACGGAAAGCTATAGTGTTAAATTACATATAAATATATACAGATTATATCAAGTAATATTGCTTAAGAGAAATTTGTTTCTATGCCTGCATTTCGATAACAGTTCATTTCTTGAGTTTAAAGAACAAAGTTCAGGGTGGTAAATTATGATAAATTTTTCATGTGTACAAAGGCTGCAGCGTTTTGTTGTGTTGTTATAGCTCTTGCATTGTTTAATAATACGCCAGTCTATAGAGTACTTAACCTTTGCCTCTTTAAGTTGCCAGATGTATTTGCTCAGTTCTGTCGCATTTCTATACTTGCTTAATCTAAATGAACTAGTGTGGCAATTATATCTTGTTTTGAATTTCCCTTCTGTATGTCCGACATAAGATTCCTTTTGATTCGTATCGTTCCTAACAACCGTTGCTTGGTATACTACGCTGGATGTTAAACATGTATATAGTATATATAACCTTGGCAACAACATAGCGCGACATTTAAATTCACCTGATGAGTGTGGCAAGCGTTGCTTGTCATACGAAACAATTTTGTAGTGAATAAAATCTTATGAAGTAAACCAAGTTTATTTTATTTTATCTTTATACTAGCTCTATACTTTGGTATATCGAGCACTCTACTCATATATGATTCTAAATACATATTTGATATATATATATATATATATATATATATATATGCCCTTTTTTTGTCTTGCTAGACGGTGCCGAGTTGTTGTTAGATCTAGGATTACATGCAGGAATCATTGGTAAAGAACTTTCACTACTCGTCTGATATAGATATTCATAAAGCTATTGAATGCTCCATCTTTTGATAGTATATAATTATGTTTCACAATTATTATAATTTATATGGAAGATTTTGCATACACCCGCTTATCATAGGAGTAATATGATATTGTTAGTACAGTTAAGGTCCAGACTACCCAGTAACTTGGTATGCTCGTGCGTTGTGTATGCATCCATATTACATCTTACTTATCATATAATTTGACAATCTTGGCGAAAAAACAATATATAGGTGCGAACTGCGATGTTTGGAAAATTTTTCATTGATACATCTTAACTTCATGTAGTTATGCCAGCCAATGTTCCGAATATGATTCAAGACGATCACGTGAAGGAAAAGGAAAAAACTATAACTGAATGATAACAGTATATAATGAATCAAATAAATTATGAATACAATCTAAGCAATTGAAGACACCCATTTACATGTTACGACTTTGTAACTCACGACTTTTCACGAAATCTTAAGGTTCTTTTTAACATAAAGTAATCTTTTATCACGTCTTATTAATTAATTTCTTCGTGTACCAATTGTCTCTTAGAGTGCGTGATGCAAAGGTGTTTTTCTCCCAGGAAATAGAACTTTAATTTAATTTTAGGAGGTATCGTTCTGCCTTTGCTTGGAGTTGTACCGGATGCTGCTATTATTGTCGTTTCTGGTTTGAAACCAGACGCACAATATCAGATCTCTGTTGGCATGGGGTAAGAACGGTATAGCTACTATAATTCTCTGCATGCATGCATGCATTCAATACGAACAATTAGAGTAATCTTTCCTGAAACCTTGATACCAATCTGTTAGGTTCGTTTTACTAATGAAATAGCTACTAATAAGTAGTATAGCCCTATACGAAGAAGGTCCTAATGCGAATGAAGAAGACAAGATACTCTAATTCATTTTAAAAGAAATGAATAACGCAAAAAAACCCGAATATGATTATTCCCCCCCTGAAATGCCATTAAAATATGGCTTAGCAGCGGAGAAGTTACGCCACATATATAGATACAAAGGATGTTATACTTATCAATAATCTATTAGTGCAGTTTTGAAAAAGGCTACCATATCATTTTTACTTTTTTTAGGACTCTAGCTGGCAGCACGATAATGTTGTTGACGCTTTCGTGGGGCGGGAGTTTGTTCATCGGGAGATGTGACTTGGATAGCAATGGTGAAGCAATTGAAGGAACTGGAAAAGGAATTAATTGTTTGAAGCAGGTAATCTAGCGTATTTTGAAATTATACCACTCGTGTGAAGAGCATGTAGAGTATTGCAGCCAGGAAGCAGCTTCATAATTTGTACTTCTTTTAACAGCCTCGCAGTTAATATTTTCTTCTGAAAGATATCTTTTTATTTCAGGGCGTTACTCTCCTTCCTTCTGTGCAGAAATCCTCAAACATTATGCTTATTACATCACTTCTTTATCTGTAAGTTTGAGTTATCCAATCACTGTTTCAAAACTTAAATGTGATCTTGACCAGTGTCGCTGTTAAAGTGTTTTCACTATTGTTTCATAAACTTTTGATATAAGGGCCGCATTCTATGACAGCCGGTTTCGTTGCTTTTCTTTGGCACAAGTTAAAACACGCAGTGGCGTAGCCAGCCCGATAATTTAGTAAAGCTATGCTAATTTTTGGTTAAAACAATGAATTTCCAAAGAAATGAATAATGAGAATAACATAGAATTTGCATAGCATGACTAAATCGTCAGTCTGGCTACCCCACTGAAAACACGATGGAGAATTAAGATTAATCTTTATATCTCCAATATATTTTTGTTGATCATAGCAAGAAAAATGATTGGTTCATTGTGATTTTGTCCATCAATTGGAAATTTTCTCAGCATAATATACCATCTTGCTTTACCAAGGCCAAGTTGTTCAGGAATACCATCAATGACCCGATTTATACTAGAGACGGATGACCATCTGGACCCCCTCCCATCGTAATGCGTGTAGCCCACGCGAGACGTAGGAAACTGTTGGATTATGTCTTAGATATTCGTGGACTCCACGCGTGAGCGGAATTATGTTGCGTGTGTAAGAAGTAGTGCATACAATGCAATATAATGAAGCGTAAGTCCGCATGATGGCATGTTTGTTCGATAAAATGTATGAACAATCACGCCACCAGTGTGACACCACCAACAAAAATTATTTTTAACAACCTACAAGCATCGTTAAGCTTCAAGGAGTGAATGGGAGTAAATGTGCGTTTTATTCGAGTTGTGTACTTTGCCAATGCATTATATATTTTATCATACCCTATTCATTGCCTCTTGCAGTGTGGTTCAAAGTGCGGACTGGCATTGGGGTCCCAAGAAATATCCTCCCCATGATCCACCTCAACCAAAGTATGTGAAAGATTCTGCGTTGGCGACTGTCATTTTGTGTGCCATATCTTTTGTTGCCTACCTTGCTTTTCTGGTAAGTGGTAATTTTACACACGTTCGAAAATGTTATGGGACATAGATTTTTAAAATACGAAGAGGACAAAATGTTCAAGTAATACGACGACAGAAGTGTATATATATAGAGAGAGATAGTAGTATCGGGTTCGATTCGAAGTCATGTAGGTAGAGTGCTCAATAACGTGTTATAGAATGTTATACTGTAAGAATAATGAAAAACTGGTTTATTTCATAAAAACTTTTATTACGACAAATTTGTTTCGTGTGGTAACAGTGGCAGGTCTAGGGGTGTGCAGAAAAAATTACCACAGTTTAAAATCGGAATCGCAATGTTAAATTTTAATACAAAAATGCATTACTTTCCCGTAATGGACCGGCACTTCCCCGTAATGGACTGGCAGTAGATGCGATCCATTACGAGAGGAAAAACAGAGAAATTCTGAATGAAAAAGGCACACATAAATGCACCAGAGAAAAATTAATTGCTTTTGAAATTTAACATCTCCAGACGGTTTAGGTAACCTAGATAATTCAATATTTTGTTTTTGTTTTTATCAAATGCGTACCAGGCTACTAATACGAATTCATGCATTTCTTGTTTGTTTAAAGTGCAAATACATCCCTTATGCCATATAATAAACTTTTTTTTAACCTTGCTTGCTCGGTCTTCACCGAGAAATATCAGCCCCGATCTTTTTGTACAAACCTCGCTCTTTGAGCTCGGTCTGTTCAAAAAGACCTCGGTCCGATATTTTTCGGTAAAGACCTCGCGCTCGGTTAATAAGAAGTTATTATTTTTATTTAGTATTCGGCATATTTTTTTGTTATTTTAATGAATATTTTTCAATGCTAACATTAATTTAGTTTATGTTCGCTATATTTTTTTAAATGAGCTAATGTGTTGTACAATGTCTTGCCTGGCTTTTATACAAAACTCTGTTAGTGTCAGTCTCAGATTTAAAACAACTTTCCGTGGCAAGCCTAGCCAATATTCATTTTGAAAATGGAAAGATTTATTTCTTTTGACGGTTTCGCAACAAATATATACTTGAGAAAATACGAAGACAAGGTGCTTAAGGTGCTAAAACACTGTCGAAACGTTCCCTTACTGGCCTGGCAGTAAACGCGATTTCCTGAGCTCTTGAGGAAAAAGACTTTCCATTGAGGGTGTCATACGATGATAAACAATCGCCTGGACGCTAGAATTTCCTAAGAAAACAATAACAAACAATAAACTTCTAAATAGCAGCTATATTTTTACCCCCACTGCTTGTTTTTAATGCGCGCGAGGCAGAACAGTATGGATTTCTATCTGACCAGGTAGATTTCCGACTCAGATCACCTGGATTGTAATGTTAGTCTCTTGAGCGGTTTATTTGTCGACCATAACGAGACGTTTCACAATTCAGGATACTAAATATGAATTTTAAAGTTTGCTACTCGTAACCACTCGTATGATTTTTGCATCAATTCCACTCCCATTCGTTCTACTACCATCATCAATGGTACTGCAGTACAATTAATGATTTTACCAAAATTAACAAAATGGCGGAAAGTTTTTTCATACAAATTAAACAACCCTGGAGGAATACTGCCAAAAGTACAAAATAATGGATAAAAGTCTGGAAGTTAGGGCAGTGTTTTACATTAAATTATCGTGTTTACGCCTGAAAAGTTGGCGATGAAACGCTATACGGTTTTCCACCAAAATCGCAGCTGATTGGTCAATTCAAGTTTTCCTTAGCAATAGGGTAGCAACGGAACCAGCAGTGAAAATTGAGTATTATTTATCGTTGTCATATTGTGTAAAAAATCACTTTTGTGCATTTCCTTGGATGTTTTCTACTAAAAAACCTAAATTTATCTATTTTTCACCATGCAAAATTAGGCACTGGCACTTCATTCATTTAAATCTGCCACTTCAAAATGAGTCTAAGTGATGTATATGATCATTTCCTAATTTTTAAGCCAATGCGCTATTATCAGTATTGCATGTGTTTTATCGTGTACGCCCGTTTGCACTTGCAATTTTTGCTGCGATTTAATGTGCAATTTTCTCCATTTCATGGATACTAATGAGTGAGTAGGTTACGGATGCACTAGTATGGACACTTATACATTACACCATTCGTAACCTTTTGCTTTTTGATGATAGATCGCACCGAAAATCGCAGCAGAAATTGCAAGTGTAAACGGGCCTTACTCAGGTCGTTAATTCACGTCTGCGCGCCGAAAGTCCCCAAATATGTCATTGCGAAGAAATAAAAAAAATATTACTAAAGTGAAGTATTTTCAAATTTGTCATCTTAGATCCGCAAAACAGTTGAAGTGGAATCATTGACACCCGCACAGAAGGAGTAAGTACATGCTTGGTGATCTATTATAAGAAATGGACAAGTTACGGGTGTCTTTTCGACTAATCGAGGTTGGTCGAGGGTTATCCTTATATGTAGTAATGTACTGTATTTTTTTTTCACTTTACCTCTTATTGTCAACTGTATTTTTTCACTTTACCTCTTATTGTCAACGGCTTCGCAATGAAAGATCGTCAATATTTGTCGAAACTTTTACAAAAAGTGGTGGAACGACGTGTCTATAACGATAATATATCAAAACTCCGTGACAGAGCTGTATATAAAATAGTCACTGTAAAAAGCTAAATGGCCACGGTATGAAAATTTCTCTTAAACGTGCCGGAAACGGCACCCGGAGAAGTGTCGTGTGCCCTTATCCGAGGAATATTTACAATGATAGCCCATGCAAAATTCAAATTCAAATTTCGAATTGATTGCTATATAATTACTTAATTTAAGTAAGTTTTTCATGAGGCAATGATTTGCACGAGTTCCTTTAGAAAGAGTGCAATTTATTAAATTATTTAAAATGACCAGTTTATAACTATAACTCAATAACCAAATTATTGGGCGTTGATGGTTTCCCTTAGTAACGAAAGAAAATAGTAACGTCAGCCTCTTTTTGATTTTCTGTTTCCACACTACAGGGTAAGTAAAAAAAACTGACACCTTTCAAATTCAAATTAGCTGCTATGTGTCTGTAATCGGCTGTAATTACAGAAGTTGCCTAATATCTCATGGGTAGACGAAGCATATCAAATAAGTGAACCCATTAATTAACCTTGAACATAAAGTTGGGAGTTAAAATGCATTCTAAGCTATGTAAAAAAGAACGTTGAATTAGTTCAATTGGTTTAAACACTTTCGCATTAACTAACCACGTCTTGTTGATTGTACACAATGGGAATTGTCAAATTCCAGCCATAAGTTTGCGGCTAATTTGAATTTCAAAGGTGTCAGTTTTTTTTTACTTGTCAAATTCCAGCCATAAGTTTGCGGCTAATTTGAATTTCAAAGGTGTCAGTTTTTTTTTACTCACCCTGTATATCACCAAAAATCGAATTGCTCTTAACCACTGATCTATTCTAGCATTGGTCAGTGCTCGTATCTGATTTTTATCATCCTAAAAACCTACGAGGCATTACAACAGTTTTTAAAACGAGGATATATTTGATCTGGCAATAATAGCAAGATTTAATTACTTTCATAACATAAAAGGGTATTGCCAACGAAATATCGTAACCGAACTTAAAGCTGATCGCCATCTTGGATAAATTTATTAATGATAACGTATGGTTTTGATGACGCCACAAGCGGGGTTAACCTACTCCAAATGCTATAAATTTCTTTAGAAAACCTGCTATATTTTGGGCTTCGGTGTCCAATAATTGTCTTGATAAAAAACTAGCATGACCCAGGTTTTGACATAACATACATTTATCCTTCAAACTAAGATGGCGGTCAACTCACTAATTTCGGCCTAAATATTAAAAATACCTCACTTTTTAATACCTCTTTGGAACGACAATGGAAATATTTTGAAACTGTAGGCAGATTGATATCAAAACAAGACAGCCTTCCGAGATAGATCCTATTGTTACTAAAGAATCCCGAACGAGTTGGAAGAGGTAACGACACAGAATCCTTTCAAAAAATAGGAATATACATTCAGCTGTATAATAATGAATTGTTGCTTGTTGTGATTTTGATCAAAACCACTGTACACTAGTCGAGTGCTCCAGTTTTTTTTTACACGTAATTAATTGCATACTATTCATTGTGGAAGGACTCAATTCCCTCGAGGATAGTTCTGTTAATTTGAGTGGAATGCATACGCTTACGCAGTATATATTCAGTTTTGGATTATTAAAAACGCTCATTCTCGTAGAAGTTGACTAATCTATAACTTGTTCATTAATAGGCCACGGATAAAGAGAGGAGCAAAGTAGTTGTTGCACTCAAATGTTTCTTCATGCTGTGTGGTGGTGTTGCCATGGTAAGTGTAAGATATGACACCAACCTATTTCTAACTCAAAGATAGTATTTGTTGCTTTTTGTCACTCTCATATTATATGAGTTACTATTGTTTTGTATTATTTTTATTCCACGTTGTATTTCCAATATTTTTTATGTTTACTTTTTTGCTAGGTGACGATATTCTCTGATCCGATGTGCGATGTTCTCAGTGGTATAACGAATAAAGCCAATGGTGACAATGGGGGCAGCTACATCAACATAAGTCGTATGTATCCACACCATCTGTACTGTATATGTAAATAATGGTGGTATTGTCTTCAACCACTTCACACTAAACTTTATTTTCACCAAGTTTCAAACATACCCTACATCTTTTTTATAACGCACTCAAGTAAGTGGTCTTGTTTTCAGTCGTATTAGTGTCCTGTCGTCTCTTTCCTGAACGACACGTCAGGATCGTCTTTTAGTAGCCATCCATCATGCACGTTTGCAGAAAATAAGACCATGAGGGACTAGAGTCACCTTGGCCATCCTGTTAGGAAACTTACCCCCCTCTTTTTCCTATTGAAGTCATCGCAGGCATAAAAAATCGCTCCTCGTAAAGTCGCATCACAATGCCTTATTCGTTAGCTTGTACCGCACCATTTGCAGGAATACCGCGATAATTAATACCAGAAAAGTTAGACTTCAAGAGGTGATTAAACATACAATAATAACATTTTGGAAACAAATATTTATTTCAACCTAAAAAAAGATCATGATATTTTCCATTTATCCTTTACTTATTTTAACTGGACCTGTAACGACAATTCATATATAATATATATATATATATATATAATATATATATAATATATATATATATAATATATATATATATACACCGTTTGCAAAAACGTTGGCCACAGATAGATATATAGATGGATACTCGAAATCTAATTAGAATTGCATATGTTGTGTAATATGATTGATATCCAATGCAAATGTCATCATATGCAATTCTAATTAGACTTCGAGTATCTATCTATCTATCTATCTGCGGCCAACGTTTTTGCAAATGGGTGATATATAATTATATATATATTATTATATATATATATATAATCAGTATGAAGATAACAAGTATCGAGTTCGAAATCATGTAGGTATAGAGTGCTCAATACCGTATGGTAGAGCGGTTAATAACAAGAATGACAAACTGGTTTATTCCATTAAAACTTTATTACTACAAATTTGTTTCGTATGGCAAGCAAAGCTTACCACACTCGTCAGGTAACAACTGATCGCGTTTATGAGCGCTATGAAATATTATATGCTTAATTCAGGCCTGTTGTGATAGTTCGTTGTGCGGTCGGTAACGTATCGGATTGCTGTCATTTGCTATACAATAAGTGTTTTTTTCTGTGTCTACAGTTTGATACTAGTTCGTTCTTTCTGTTAAGTGTACAAAGCTCCGGATAACAAATAATTATAAACTTCTCATACAAGCATAAATTACATCGCTTAGTTATACTAGAATACGGTTTACATCGTTTTAAAATTTTCCATTGGATGAGTGTTGTACATCAGAGTCTTTTAGTGACCATACATATTTACTAAGTTCGGTAGCTTTACGAAGCTTCGGGTTGACAAAAGAGCTTTTGTGGTTTGCAAGACGCTTTTTGAATTTGTTTTCAGTAAGGCCAACGTATGTTTCTTTGTTTTGATTGTCTTCGCGGGTAACAGTGGCTTGGTAAATCACGCTTTCAACTTGGCATTTTTGCTCGAGGGGGCAATTAGCAGTTTGGCGGCAGTTGCAGTTGTTCACTGTGCTTGCTTCATTTAGGCTGGATTGCTTGCTAAGTATGGCTTTATTATGGGACGTGATTATGGCGTTGATGTTGGGCATGCAGCTGTAGCTTAGTTTGATGGTGTTTCTGTTGAAGATCTTGTGTAGCGGGTGGCTGCGCGGGAAGCACTCGTCTATAATTCTTAAAAACTTGTGGCCGATATTGGTGGCGACGTTGCAGCTATACGGAGGGTTGAACCAGATGATTTTTCTGGTTCTCTTCCGTTTTTCCTTATTTGCTGGTCTTGTGTTGAATGTGAGTATGTGGTCATATCCGCTCTTTGCTAGCGCTTCTTGGTACGGTAGCTTAGCGGAGTCGAACGCCTTCTCATCGGAGGAAATGGCCGATAATCTTCGGTCAATGGATTCGGGAAGAGTTCTAAGGATTGGTGGGGGGTGGTTACTGCATCGGTTAATATACTGGGGGACGTTGCCTGGTTTCATGAACGGTTTGTAAGTTCCTGTTCGTAAATCAAAAGTGATATCTAAGAAATCAACGATCTTTTTGTTGGCTTCAATAACTTCAGGTTGTGGTCGTTGAATATCTTACATATCTCCTTTTTGATTTTCTCTATTTTCCTCGGTGATTCGTTGAATGCTCCCAACCCGTCGTCTCTGTATAATCCCAGTTTCTGTCGGTGTTCCTGCTTGATTTTTGACAAAAGAAAGGCTCCAACGAGTTCACACGTTTCTGCTCCATCGAATGAGCCCATAGTAACGTCGAACTGCGAGTTGGTTTCTTTCTTGCACCACGCTTCCTTCTCGTTAAACAGTAGTGATCTCTTTGCTTGAATAATGATGTGTTTCTCATCGTTCGATATTTCGTCAAACTGCGCGGCAAATTCGAGGGCGTCGATTAGCAATTGTTCGGAAATAGATGGATAGAAATCCACAACATCGAAAGATGTTCGACGCAGTTCGACGTTACTATGGGCTCATTCGATGGAGCAGAAACGTGTGAACTCGTTGGAGCCTTTCTTTTGTCAAAAATCAAGCAGGAACACCGACAGAAACTGGGATTATACAGAGACGACGGGTTGGGAGCATTCAACGAATCACCGAGGAAAATAGAGAAAATCAAAAAGGAGATATGTAAGATATTCAACGACCACAACCTGAAGTTGACTATTGAAGCCAACAAAAAGATCGTTGATTTCTTAGATATCACTTTTGATTTACGAACAGGAACTTACAAACCGTTCATGAAACCAGGCAACGTCCCCCAGTATATTAACCGATGCAGTAACCACCCCCCACCAATCCTTAGAACTCTTCCCGAATCCATTAACCGAAGATTATCGGCCATTTCCTCCGATGAGAAGGCGTTCGACTCCGCTAAGCTACCGTACCAAGAAGCGCTAGCAAAGAGCGGATATGACCACATACTCACATTCAACACAAGACCAGCAAATAAGGAAAAACGGAAGAGAACCAGAAAAATCATCTGGTTCAACCCTCCGTATAGCGCAACGTCGCCACCAATATCGGCCACAAGTTTTTAAGAATTATAGACGAGTGCTTCCCGCGCAGCCACCCGCTACACAAGATCTTCAACAGAAACACCATCAAACTAAGCTACAGCTGCATGCCCAACATCAACGCCATAATCACGTCCCATAATAAAGCCATACTTAGCAAGCAATCCAGCCTAAATGAAGCAAGCACAGTGAACAACTGCAACTGCCGCCAAACTGCTAATTGCCCTCTCGAGCAAAAATGCCAAGTTGAAAGCGTGATTTACCAAGCCACTGTTACCCGCGAAGACAATCAAAACAAAGAAACATACGTTGGCCTTACTGAAAACAAATTCAAAAAGCGTCTTGCAAACCACAAAAGCTCTTTTGTCAACCCGAAGCTTCGTAAAGCTACCGAACTTAGTAAATATGTATGGTCGCTAAAAGACTCTGATGTACAACACTCAATCCAATGGAAAATTTTAAAACGATGTAAACCGTATTCTAGTATAACTAAGCGATGTAATTTATGCTTGTATGAGAAGTTTATAATTATTTGTTATCCGGAGCTTTGTACACTTAACAGAAAGAACGAACTAGTATCAAACTGTAGACACAGAAAAAAACACTTATTGTATAGCAAATGACAGCAATCCGATACGTTACCGACCGCACAACGAACTATCACAACAGGCCTGAATTAAGCATATAATATTTCATAGCGCTCATAAACGCGATCAGTTGTTACCTGACGAGTGTGGTAAGCTTTGCTTGAAATACAAATTTGTAGTAATAAAGTTTTAATGGAATAAACCAGTTTGTCATTCTTGTTATTAACCGCTCTACCATACGGTATTGAGCACTCTATACCTACATGATTTCGAACTCGATACTTGTTATCTTCATACTGATTTATTTCGCTCCTTCACTGTTGAGCACTCTTCAAATCATCATGGAACCAGTCAATCTTGGATATTCTATGAAAAACATACCTGTCGCAGAGCCTAAGGAATACTTAAAATGTTTTATTGAAAAGACCGAATCGTTCCTGCGACGCATGAGATGGAAGGCCTACCACTACCTAAACCCGAAGACAGAACAGACGGCAACCAACGAAACTTTTGGTTTCAAGACAACGAACACGCCAACGAGTATCAACGAGCTGATACATTTTGAAGACAAAATGCTAAATCTAATACGAAACATCGAATTCGACAACACTGTCTCTGAATTTCAAAAGAAGCTTTCCAGTGACGCTAAGAAAATCAGAAAGGATGACAAATTGCTTATCGCTGCCGACAAGACGACGAACTTTTACCGCGTAGACACAGACACATACAAACAGCTAATCAATACCGCCATAACGAAATCTTACAAGAAAGCTCCAACAAACGTTCTTACTGAAATTATTTCCGAAGAGAAAAAGATCGCCAACAAACTCAATCTGCAACTAAAGATAGACGCGTTGACCGCGAATCAGTCATTTGTCACACTAAAGGATCACAAACCAAACTTTATCAACAAGCCAACATGTCGTCTAATCAACCCGTCAAAATCAGAAATCGGGAAAATCAGCAAGCAAATTTTAGAGAGAATCAACGCCAAAATAGTGAGGGCTACAGCCATCAATCAGTGGAAAAATAGTGAAGCTGTCATCTGGTGGTATAAAAACATCTCTAACAAACCGGAACATTCGTTTATTTCTTTCGATGTTGTGGATTTCTATCCATCTATTTCCGAACAATTGCTAATCGACGCCCTCGAATTTGCCGCGCAGTTTGACGAAATATCGAACGATGAGAAACACATCATTATTCAAGCAAAGAGATCACTACTGTTTAACGAGAAGGAAGCGTGGTGCAAGAAAGAAACCAACTCGCAGTTCGACGTTACTATGGGCTCATTCGATGGAGCAGAAACGTGTGAACTCGTTGGAGCCTTTCTTTTGTCAAAAATCAAGCAGGAACACCGACAGAAACTGGGATTATACAGAGACGACGGGTTGGGAGCATTCAACGAATCACCGAGGAAAATAGAGAAAATCAAAAAAGAGATATGTAAGATATTCAACGACCACAACCTGAAGTTGACTATTGAAGCCAACAAAAAGATCGTTGATTTCTTAGATATCACTTTTGATTTACGAACAGGAACTTACAAACCGTTCATGAAACCAGGCAACGTCCCCCAGTATATTAACCGATGCAGTAACCACCCCACCAATCCTTAGAACTCTTCCCGAATCCATTAACCGAAGATTATCGGCCATTTCCTCCGATGAGAAGGCGTTCGACTCCGCTAAGCTACCGTACCAAGAAGCGCTAGCAAAGAGCGGATATGACCACATACTCACATTCAACACAAGACCAGCAAATAAGGAAAAACGGAAGAGAACCAGAAAAATCATCTGGTTCAACCCTCCGTATAGCTGCAACGTCGCCACCAATATCGGCCACAAGTTTTTAAGAATTATAGACGAGTGCTTCCCGCGCAGCCACCCGCTACACAAGATCTTCAACAGAAACACCATCAAACTAAGCTACAGCTGCATGCCCAACATCAACGCCATAATCACGTCCCATAATAAAGCCATACTTAGCAAGCAATCCAGCCTAAATGAAGCAAGCACAGTGAACAACTGCAACTGCCGCCAAACTGCTAATTGCCCTCTCGAGCAAAAATGCCAAGTTGAAAGCGTGATTTACCAAGCCACTGTTGCCCGCGAAGACAATCAAAACAAAGAAACATACGTTGGCCTTACTGAAAACAAATTCAAAAAGCGTCTTGCAAACCACAAAAGCTCTTTTGTCAACCCGAAGCTTCGTAAAGCTACCGAACTTAGTAAATATGTATGGTCGCTAAAAGACTCTGATGTACAACACTCAATCCAATGGAAAATTTTAAAACGATGTAAACCGTATTCTAGTATAACTAAGCGATGTAATTTATGCTTGTATGAGAAGTTTATAATTATTTGTTATCCGGAGCTTTGTACACTTAACAGAAAGAACGAACTAGTATCAAACTGTAGACACAGAAAAAAACACTTATTGTATAGCAAATGACAGCAATCCGATACGTTACCGACCGCACAACGAACTATCACAACAGGCCTGAATTAAGCATATAAATATTTCATAGCGCTCATAAACGCGATCAGTTGTTACCTGACGAGTGTGGTAGCTTTGCTTGCCATACGAAACAAATTTGTAGTAATAAAGTTTTAATGGAATAAACCAGTTTGTCATTCTTGTTATATATATATATTATATATATTATATATATATATATATATATTATATATATATATATAATATAATATATATATATATATATATAATATATATATTATATATATATATATGTATATATATTATATATATATATTAATTATATTATATATATATATATATATATATATATATATACGTCATTTCCCTATTTGGAGAGTTTGCAGCTTCAGTTTCACACACCGCCAAACAATACGTATTTTAAAGCCAACAACCAACACGTTATACTAAAATAAGCCTCTACTTTTAGTATATAGTCTAGTTTTTATACATATGGTGAGACAGGTTGAAAAACCGTACCGTCCTCCCGAAGTTTATACCTCAGCTACTATATCTGGAATGTGTGTGCGTGTCCTATATACCTAACTATATACTAATCTAATTAAAATATGTTAATTTGGCCACTACAGAACCTTCAGTACTCATACAGAGTGCTTGAAAGGATAGCTGGGGAATGAAATATTTTAATATTAGTGCATTTTATCCGGGTCTATAACGCTCGAAGGTATTTTTAGTGCACTAACCGATTTTGAAGTTTAAACCCCCCAGTTCACGATATATTGATAGACATGTTTTCAGACGCTAGACGCGAAACCATAACGTTACAGTTACGAAAAATACAATTCAATTTCTAATTTTTATCTGTTCAATATCTTAAGCCTTCTACGTGTCGTTTGTTGTCACACCAATATGCTCGAACGCTTCTGAGCTGGTGTCATCGCTTCTTTTCGCTGCCAAGAAAAAGAAAGAAAACGTGTCTATTACTTATGCCCAGGTGAGATTTATTATTCTATAGCTTATCTGCTGGTTTAGCTTTTCGTTAATATGTTTTTATAGAACATCGATATCACCAGAATATTTTATTGTTTCAAATTCGTCTTTTCCTAGTTATCAACCAAAGTATATAATAAATTATATTACTAGTATCTGATATTTTATACAGTTGCGGACTTCTGAGGTGAAAGGAGATGCTCCCCTAAAATATTTGAAGAAGTTGGGAAAATTTCTATTGATCGATTCCGTTTGTTTTTAGAATTAGTTAATTTATTGTACCTTATTAGAAATTTCTGGTACTCTGCAGTTCCGAGGGCTTGCTTTTTAACCTCACGAGGGCAGTCAGTAGGTGATTACCGCCTTTTTTGGATTGGCGATATTAAAATATATTGAGAGTCGAATTATCTTCGGTAACCCGGTAATTATCCTCGGTAACTTAACAAAACTGAAATATTTGATTTACAAAATTTTGTCTTTCGGAGTATGCCATTCTTATATTTTATTAAAAGTTTTTTTTATTCACGGAAAGCTCAATTATTGCTGGTATGCGCGCCGTAGCATATATGATATGTATACATATACTATACTATAGGGCGACCGCGCCTATTATCGCACTACCTGTGGTTAATTTCGGTTTTTGTAGTTGTATGGGGCAGCAACAATGAACAACACTATGTGCTTGGGCATCTTTTGTGTACTGGTTTATATAAAAAACCTGGAGTGGTATTACTCGGCAGGTGAGTTTGCCTTGGTTTTGTTCTCCTGAAGACTTTATATTTTAGAGATTTGTATTGTACGTCGGTAAGGCAGAAGCTGGCTTCTCGAATCTCAACATGTTGCATGATCTCGAACATTGCGTAAAAATGCCATAACATGGATATTATGTGGGTTCACCACCCTCAACCTAGTTGTTTTTAATACAGCTGTCTCAAAAAGCTTAAATTTCTTTATTAAACATGCATTGATCAACGCCTATTAACGTTCTCTTAGTTTATACACAATTGAAAAACATCCTCAATTCATATTGTTCGACATTTCTGAAAACTGCTTCAGTGGGTTTCGAGATATCTGTGTAATATTTAATGTTAGTCAACGGATTAACAGTCCCGGAAAACCCCTGGAAAAACACAAAATAGGGTCTTGAAAAGTTGTAGATTTTTCTTGTTGGTTTTACTGTCGAAATGTAGGTGAAACGTAACAGGGTGTTTTTCTATATTTTTGTAAATACGAGAAAGACAAGTTTGTTATTTTCCGCGGATAACAAATTGCTTCCAACAAATGCCTAAGTTGGTTCACCATACCAGGGCGCTTAGAACCGTACCACAGCTAGGAGCGCGTTTTAGAAAATAATGCGCAAATTGCAGTAACCACGCTATATCCGCTGCGCATTCGCTTAGTTCTATTTATTTCATTCCGGTGTTGTTGCGCATAAGTACTTGCCAAATTCTCAGTTTAAGTTCAGTTGTTAATGTGGACGCTTGTTGGTAAGCTTGTATTGGAAAACTTTTTGTACTTGCATAAGGGCTAAATCTATCCACGTTGGAACTCAATCTATATTGGCTTAAAGAGAAGCTTTACGTGCGCTAACCAAAGCACGGAATAGACATTATACCAGAAGCCTCACTCTTTGCATTTTGCTAATGTTTTCGTGCCCGAAATTTTTCAGAAGCGCACGCGACATTCTACACAATTCTACGCCATCCTGGTGTGTGCATAAACTTTGTACCCCCTTGGAAAAGTTCCTGCACACACCAGGATTGTGTGAGCAAGACACAAATTGGATACTAAGCACCATAATGCTTGCGTATGCTCGCGTATTTGGCTTGCGTTAGGTGGACACCAAATGCAAAGAAGAGTGAGGCTTCTGGTATGATTTCTGATCGAACACCTCTTTTTAACCCGTAATACACAATTTAAAACAGAACTTATTCGAATGACTATTCTTGTATTATAGAGGTGATATTATGTTCTCACTAGCAGTTTTAGGAATTAATTGGTCACTCCCGAGTACATTTATGACCAAAGATCTACTACAACTTTTTTAAAATTCAATTATGACCGTATTAAGTTGACTGCTAGAACTGTTTCACTGTGATTTCATTCCAAAATGTTGGTTGTTATTTTCAAAATAATCAGGTCTTTTAGTGCAACAAACAGTTTTTAGGTGCATACGAACCACTTGGGTCTTTTGCTGTTTTATTACATATATTGACTGATATTAATAGAGCCTATTCCAAGTATATCCTTAATAGCATAGCGCTGGCATGAAAAGAAATGGAAAGAATTTTTTGTGTTTTGAATGTTTTGTTATTTTTTGGCAGAATATAATTTGATCGAATTTGAAAACTATTTGCAACTTACTGCCACTATTCAATCTTTATTTAAACTTTACTATAAATTTTTCCTAAAACCTTCGATACTCACAAATTACCTCCCAATAAACTTTAGAAAAAATAGCAAATCGCACTTGCTTTGATAAAAATGTTTTTCGGTTTAAAATATTTAATTAAAATAACTGGTGAACGGTGCGAAAAAATAGTCTTTGTTTAAGGTAGAGATGAGCATTTTTAAGAGGTGTGTAAAAACCTGCCTCGTCCCCAGTCGCTTGCAATTCCAAAAATAGAGATCAGTTGCTGCATGTGAGGGAAGCTGTGGCGACGATGAAATTCATTTTTTCCTTGATAAAAGTACACCAAAGTGCCCAAAAGGGCCACAAACTTTGAAGCAAAAGTTTTCATAAGTCTAGAACGTTTTATTCTTCAAGTACCCGTCTACCCAGTTGTTTCATTTGCGAATTGTTTGGCGATCTGACCAGATGAAAGCTGCATTTAGTATTTTGAAGGTGTACAAAATCTGGACTTTTCTCTAAATTCCGTGTTTCCCCTAATATACAATTACAATTACAATGTATATATATTATTCCTTAAATTACAGAAGTCACGGTGATCTTGCTTGTACAATGGCTCGTGTTTGTCATGGGTTTCCCCTTGACCTATAAGGTATTTCTTATAACGTTAGACAAGATAAGTATGTATGGGCGAAATACGGGAGTTATGTGACAGCAGCAGAAGAATGAGGGACGTTCAGTTTTTTTAATGACCTCTTGGTCCCTTTTCAAGGAAACTATAAAAAATCAGAACCAATCAATAATTATTTATTATTTGCTATTTTGATTAGTAAATTCTATTGTGAGTCATGACATTTATCGGAGGCTTTTTTTAGTCCTTTTGAATGACTATAGCTTACATTCGGCTTAAGTCCGCTGGTGGTTTAAATCCGGGCGGCGTGTTTACACCTTGAGGTGGTCCAGTACATTTTTTTTTAAAAAATCTGTTCATGCCATATTGCAAGCGAAGTTGCTCTGAGTGAAAAAAGACCTGTAGGAATCTTCAATCACTATTGTTACCCAGACCAAACACACCCAATGGTGGAAAAAAGACGAATTTTTAAAAACGATAGAAGACCTAGTTTTAACGCTCGAACGACGGAGTTGGTTTTATTTCGTTCTAAGTATTTTTGCCTCGGAGCTGAACTTGGAATAAATAAAATTTTCCAGTATTAAACGTTTTGCAGGCTATAAATACGAAACTTCTACGATCTATCTAAAATAAACAGTCGCTATTTTACTTAGACTAAATAGAATAAACCACTAGTTCACCTCCGATCGAATTGTCTTTAAAGTCGACAATGAAAATTTTATGAAGTTAGCTTTATTACTTTTGAATTATCGTGCAGGAAAGTAAGGGGAATGAGAATTTTAGTTTGCTAAGAAAATCGAGGAAATTTTTTTTGCATATATTCAAAACTTGTAGAGAACAACACAATAGAACAATGAAGCAATAGAATAAGCCAATAGACCCCTTTTGTTTGCTCGGGGTGAAACCTTAATAAAACTGTTTGTTGAATTCTCGCGTTCTTTGTATATTTTTTGGAGAAAAAAAGATCCAGGATCGCTTTGGGATACATTCAGTAAGTTTGTACCCATTGAAATTTTTGTAGTGGACCACCTTAAGCGAAAGTTTTGGGGCATTTTGATATTTAAACAATTACATAAAACTGGCCTTGAAACTGGTTGAAACAAATCTATTTGGAGTAGGTCGAAGAAGGCCTGTAAGACCTCCCCCCCTTCCCGTCACTTTGAAGACTAACTATAAAATCACTGGGGCATGGACAAATCACGTTTGTAAGTTTTCCAATCAAGTTTAAGATTATATTTGGATTTATATTTGAACTAATACAACGGCAAGAGAGTGTGGCAGTGCCAGTCAATGTCCCTTGGAAAAGCGAAAACTACAAAACGTGATTTAACCAAATCAATAGGTTAAAAATTTACTGCAAAGTTCGCCTGTAAAACAAAAACTCAATGCCAATCATCAGTTTATACAGCATTTGCTGGTCATTTAAGTGAAAACGAAAATCATTAGAATGATTCCCATTTCAATTACGCGTTGCTTATGTTCAATAGAAAGAACTTACATTCAACAGTACTAGTAGGTATAATCAATAAAAACAACTAATTATGTCGATAGCACGAAACGAATCTCAATAGCATTATTCAAAACTCATTTACCATTATTGCACAACAATACAGTTAAACCAAAATACATTTAGGTACACAAAATAGTCATTATCGCTGTAGCGTACCAAAGTTTTTGAATACGGTTTGAATCTTTACAGAACATTGATTACATTATTGAAGCGGGTATAAATAACGATGTTGCTTACATCTCCGTGTGATTGACTTCGATAGTTTCATCATGGCTGAGCGAAGGCGAAGAATGAGGATTTCTCAAGACGAAAGAAATAGACTGATTCGTGCTTTTGAAGAGCCAGACCAAGATTATCTTGCAAAGGCAGATACATTGGGTGTGAATAGATCAACAGCACGTGGAATCATTCGTAGATATCTACAGCAAAATAGGGTAGACGAGCAGCCACGTGGTGGCAGAAACAACGTTAAAGTAGATGATGAAATGACGGCTTGTTTAGAAGAAATCGTCAACGAAAACCCGTTGTTAACGCTAAAGGCAATCAACTCTGAGCTGCGTCGCCGGCTACCCGAAAAGCGTTATGTTCATGATCGAACTATTGGTAGACACCTAAACGGCATGCTGTTTACACTTAAGTTATCCCAGAGAGTTCCAGCTGAACGAAATCGACCCGAAATCATAGAACGTCGTTTCCAATACGCGCAGTGGTTCCTGGAAGTAGCAAATCTCTACCATACAGTATTCATTGACGAGTGTGGATTCAATATCTGCACCTCAAGGATCCAAGGTCGTTCTCGCAGAGGAGATCGGGCTTACCGGCAAGTCTGTGGGCAAAAGGGGAGAAATATTACGATATGTTTATCTATTTCAGCATTATTTATGGTGTTGTTCACCATACTATACAAATGGGAGCAATGACAGGCCCATTGTTTAATGAATTTCTTGTTCGTACAGCTCAGGAATTGAGCGAGGACGAAACACGCTACCTAATTTTCGACGGAGCACCATGCCATAGGAGGGCAAAAAATCCAACTGACGACATCAAAACGCGCATTCTTTCTCCTTACAGCCCATTTCTAAACCCGGTTGAACAAGCTATTAGCTGTCTGAAAGCAAACATTAAAGCAGATATCTCGCGTCCTCGAATACAGCACCAGATCAACGACAGGCAAGCTGCCCGAAATGCCGGTCTGCCATTGGGAGAATACAGAAAACAGATTCTGATCGCTGCAGCAGAAAGAAATATTCCCTACATCACAGTTGCAAAATGTGTTGCTTGGAACAGACTAATGCAAAGATACTTACCCAAATGTTTAGCAAGAGAACAAATACAGAGTTAAATCAGAGTTATAGAACGGGTTGTTGTGTGTAAAAATCATTGATAGAAAAAATAGATAATATCAACATAATTTATGTGGAACGGCGTTTTAATTACTATTTTGTGTACCTAAATGTATTTTGGTTTAACTGTATTGTTTGTGCAATAATGGTAAATGAGTTTTGAATAATGCTATTGAGATTCGTTTCGTGCTATCGATTTTCACTAACTGGAATACATAATTAGGTGTTTTTATTGATTATACCTACTAGTACTGTTTAATGTAAGTTCTTTCTATTGAACATAAGCAACGCGTAATTGAAATGGGAATCATTCTAATGATTTTCGTTTTCACTTAAATGACCAGCAAATGCTGTAATAGCAACATTACCATGCTAGTAGAAAATGGATGTGAAGCAGGAGGCAATTCGCAAAAAGGTTCGGGAGGCAGAAAACGGGGTACGAAAGGCAGAAAATATTCATGCCCCCAACCCCCACCACCGCCAACATAAAGGAGTATAAGAGCATTAGCTGAGAAAACATTGGTTGAGTTTACTGACAAAGGCACCAGCTTCCATCGTTGAAGAAATACTTGACTTTAGTAGACTGCATGTGTCTACAGAACTGACAGTTTAGTAGACTAGATTCGATTGCACGGTTTGGGCCTGTATACAGACGTATATTTGCCTCGAAAATATTTGGTGTTGCGAAAGTATGACATGAACAGTCTTTTCTTTTTATCTAGTTATGGAAAGTCGTTCCCGTCGCTTTCCTTTACGTATTTTCTATCATTCTTATTGCAATCCTGGAAAGCACTGCTGTTGGATGGAAATGATGAAGATAAATTTCTTTTAGTTTTTTTATTTACTAATCAAAGTTGTCACAGTATTTTCTATAGGTAACACGTTCTGCTATGTATAGAGAATGTTCCATAGCATGTGAATCCCATGCCCGCGAGACGTCGGAATCTTTACGATAAATTTTTACGATAGTGCGCTAGTTCAAGTATACGAATGTTATCATTGATTCGCCAACTATCTCACAATGCAAAGTTTCTCGAGGTTATTGTTAGCTAAAAATGGAAGGAAGGGGCTAAATGAATGTTGTAGACTTGTAGTTTCAATAATCACCCTTTCTATATGCTGACTGCATCCCCTCTCTCACCCCAGAAACAAACCTTTGAAAGAAACACACGCTGGATGTCCCAATAGCGCTTACATTATATGTTTCGATTCTCAATTAAGGTAGTCCAGTACAAAATAATAATCTTTTCTGTTTTGAGGTGGTCTTATACAAAAAATTTTCTTTTTTATTTTGTAAAATATAAAGATCTTTTCATGCCAAGTTGCTCTGAGTGAAAAAACACTTTTGTGGAAAATAGACGGTTTTTGTAAACACGATAACAAACTAGGTTTTAACGCTACTATTAAATGTTTGCAGGCTATAAGTATAAACTTTTACGATATATCTGAAATAACCAGTCGCTATTTTACTTAAACTGAACGGGATGCAAAACGTTTAGTTCACCCACGAGCCAATTGCTTTTAAAATCAACCATGAAAATTTCATCAAGTTAGCTTTATTACTTTTTAGTATCGTGTACGAAAATAACGGGGATGAGAATTTCAGTTTGCTAAGAAAAGCGACGAAAAAAGTTTTGCAGAATAAGCCAATGGACCCTTTTTGTTTGCTCGGGGTAAAACCTTAATTAATAAAACTTTTCGTTTATTTCTCATGTTCTTATATATATTTTTTGATAAAAAATATTCAGCATCGATTAGGAAGACATTTAAGTTTCCATTTCTTGAAATTTTAAAAACAGAATAAATTGGGATTTTTTTGTAAAAGACCACCTTATATATATATATATATATAATATATATATATATATTATATATATATATATATATATATATATATATATATATATATATATATATAGTAGTGGTCTATAGTAGTGCTCGTCTATATATATAAGGTGGTCTTTTCCAAAAAAAAAAAATATATATATAGTGTCCTGAGTATTTTGTCTCCAAAAATATACAAGAAACGCTAGAATTTAACAAAAAGTTGTATTAATTAGAATTTAACCCCGAACAATCAATCAAAATGCATATCCTTTTGTTCATATTGACTGTTTGATTATGCTTACTAAACTTGTGTAAAAACTATTGAAATTGACCTTTATTCTTTAGTGAACAATCCATGTAATTGAAATTTCATAAATGATTAAGAACTTACTGACTGAGAGTGAGGTCTGTACGGTAAAATATCAAACCGAGGTCGTGCCGTATTGACCGAGCGATAGCGAGGTCAATACATCAAGACCGAGGTTTGATATTTTACCGTACAGACCGAACAGTCGAAGTTAGTAAGTTTTTTATTATATGGCATATTTCATGCAGACATTGTAATGATTAATTCTTTATGAGTAATTTTAATGATCAATCTCATCCGGGCACACGACACCAAAACATCGGCCTAAAGTGAAAAAAACCGCTCTATTTTGTAAAATATAAATTTATCTTTATTTCAAATTCATTATTTTCCGTTTAAGAATTTAATCTGTTTTTCAGTTTAAATTTAGTTAGTTTTTGCCGTGAGATTTGCCTTGTTTTCACAGGGCAATAAGAATTGCGTATTGCCCGTGGGCAATACGGGGAAATCCGGACCTGTCAGCAGCCAATCAAATTGCAGAATTAACCAAAACAAGCGCTTGCCATATAATAAAATGATTTTTTGCTCGTTTAAATGAATACTCTTTTGTTCGTATTGACTGTTTAGTATGGCTAATTAAAATTTCATACATGTTAATGATGTTCTGTTCTTTAAATGAATATTTCAAAGTTTTATTGGTGTACCGCACAATGTTATTGAATATTTGTTTGTGTTTAATGCCGGGCAAAAGGTGTAAATAAAACCAATATAATTCCTTCGTTCTAGAGTTAAAAGCTAGTTAGTTAACTAGTTAGGTGCATGTGTCTGGTCTGGGTAACTTTAGCGGTGGAAGATTCCTGCAAGTCTTTTCACTCGGAGCAAATTGGCTTTGTATGACAATATTTTCATATTTTTAAATATAAAAAGAAGAAAAACATTGTGGTATATAACCTGAAACCACGATTCTATTTTATTGATACCGAAAAACTGTAGAGCCATTTTGCATTGTGTGATTGATTTATTCCATTATCAGCGGCGAAAAAATTCGTGACAGGTTTGTTGCACCAAATCATATATGAAAATATGATGATAAATCTGACTGGAAAAATCCTCCTTTTTTCCATAATTTTTGAGATTTACAAACAGGTCAACAAACGTAGATACGAAGTGTAATTTTCGAATTAAAATGACCAATTTTGTAAAATTTTCGGACCTTATTTCCAGGGGCCCGCTCAACCAAATCATCTGATATTCTACTGTTAGATATAATGGGACGCGTTTACTCTAATTAACCACATTAGAACGAATCCTATTGATGGAAACATTTTTTGAACTTCCGCTCAACCAAATCATCTGATATTCTACTGTTAGATATGATGGGATGAGTTTTGTCTAATTAACCACATTACTTATTAGAACAAAATCTAATAAAAGAAAGATTTTTTGAAGTTTCGCTGAACCAAATCATCTGATATTCTTCTGTTAAATATATTGGGAGGGTTTAGTCTAATTAACCACATCGGAACAAATCCTATTGAAGGAAACATTGTTTGAAGTCCCGCTGAGAGAGATTGGTAGGACTGACTAAAACGGGCTTAAAAAGGTTCTCGGTAAAGCGTCGGTGAACTTAATAACTCTCCAAACCCTCCCAGTGGAGATCGAAGCCATGAACGACAGACCCTTGTCCTACGTGTCATCAGATGACGAACGAACAGCGCATCTATTATACGGCAGGAGATGACATCTCTACCGAACGAGAGTCTGGACGATGGTGAACTGTCAGATCCAGACTTTAATGAGACTTAACTCCAAAGAAACGCCAAGAGATTGTTACTACTGTTACAACGCTTTCACCAACGTTGGAGACAAGAATATATCACATCCTTACGAGAATTTCATAGGAATATTGGAACAGATCGAGAATGTATCAAAATAGGAGACGTTGTACAAGTTCATGATGGTACACCCCGACTGACTTGGAAACTAGCGGTAGTCGAAAGTTTATTTCGAGCACAAGACTAACACGTACGAGCCGCGAACATTCGGGCGGCATTAGGTAAGACAAACCGACCGATAACGAAACTTTATCCTCTTGAGGTAAGAGCAAAGACGGGTGATGATCGCGAGAGTAAAGACAAAGATCACGGGAAACAAAGAGATCAAACGACCCAAGTGACTGATCATATCTGACGGCCACAACGGGTAGCCGCGGGAAAAGCAATGGAACAGTTTAGGAATTGGATTCAAGACCTTTGCCCCTGGAGGATGTCGAAAATGTCTGACAATGAGTAGTATACAAATAGGCTTGTATTACATAAATTTAAGTATATATAGTTTAGCGCCTTTTTAGGCGCCATATTGATGATGTTGTTGTTTTTTCCATATATGCATTTTTACGAAGAATCTGAATGATATAAATCAATTAAATATCTAACATCAATGACATGAAATCGAAAGACATACATCTTTTACTTGTATTCGTGCAAGAGTGTCGTGTGACCAAGTACATCCATCTTGTGCCCGTCGTATGAAACTATTTTAGTGTTTGATTTTTGTAATGTGTCATTGGATCGTATCTGTTTGAATATCGATTTTGGTATTACTTGACTTTTTGCCCCTGTGATTTTGACTGCTTGCCCATTGATTCCAGCTCTAAAATCCATTCATCTATACGCCCACGGCGTGTACAGCTGCTTTTTTTTGTTGCGTTTTTATTGTTCCTATAAAGTATTCGTCGTTTGAGTCGGAATTACTGTATACTGCATGAACTCTTCGAGATGACTGGCAAGCTCTTGCGAAATGATTGTCCTTACCACAAGATGAGCAAGATTTCCCATTAGCTGAGCAGGCTCGGAAAATATTTGTGTGTACCACAATATTTTAGAATCAGAAAATCGAATTGACTTTGATTATCTTCGTTCTTGCGACTTAACCTCCGACTCGCATTTCGAGTGATCTTTGTCAGTGTATGTTCTACGTGTTTGTCTTACATCGTGAACTGTATTCGTTTCATTTTGATTTCTTGCATTTGTTTCAGTGAGATTTCAGCAGCGTGTACAATGTCAATGCATTTGTACAATGTCAGATCTGGTTCTCGATTAAGCTAACTAGGTCATACTTTGTCGTCTTAAATTCCTACCACTTATTTATCGCAAAATAGCTCATCTTGAAAGGTAATGGAAGGGGCAGGAGATCAACAACTTCCGCCTCCCGTACGCATTCTTCTCCATCCCCATCGCCTCCCGTCTCCCGCTAACCCTCCTCCCGATTTTCGTGATCTGTTCTGGAAAGGCGTCTTTTAACCTCCCTGTTCTCTAGTCTTTTTGCAGGGTTAAGCACGATTTGTGGCCTTTTCTTCGTCCGATGCCGTGCGACGTTGGTCACGGGATGGAAGAGGAACCGTTAAATAGCCAGGTTCGTACAGTTATTACATCTGCGTTATTAGCTCCGATACCATCTCTTTCCCTACCAATAGGCAGCGGGCAAATTATAGTGAAAGAGTGTGGAGTTATATATGTAGATTGTGACTTAGTTGAATCCATGGTTGAATCCCCTAAGAATCCGTTTGAACGTTAAAATATGTTAACGAACCAAACTTGAATGTTTTAACTATTACAAAATATTTGTTTTATTCCAGGGTTAAGCTAGTCGGCTTTTGAACAACCAAACTCTGAAGTGAAAATATACTATTCTTACTAACATTTTGTGTCAGGCTAGCTCGTATTTGCTAATTTTTTGCCCATTTCGTATGGAAGACATGTCATTCGATAGAAA